TTTTAAATGCAGTGGGAAGACACTGGAGAGTTTAAAATTAGTGGAATAAACAAATTTACATTTTAAAAGATTACTCTGGCTTCAGGAAGGAAAAAATGGGCTGTACAGGACAAAAGAAGAAACAACGAAATCAATTAGAAGTCTGGATTAGGAAAGCAGCATTAAAGTGGAAAGAAGAACCTTTCCTATTAATTCTGTCAAATATGACAGTGGCTTTTATTTTTTAATTGCCACAATGTTTTCAGAATAAATACCTAAGCCATGAATTTAAACAGATATACTTAGTTGCCTGCATGATTTTCCATTAGATTGTTGAAATAACTATGTTTTATTTATCTTTGCATCCTCACAACGTTTTGTCCATAGTCATTACTCAGTAAGTAATATGGGCAGCAAGTACTCTGAGAAGCAAGGGAGGGATCACAAGAGGAAATTAAGGGCTGGGCTCCAGGTGGAGAGCAGCACCACCTGCTCTCCCCGATCCTCTGTGTGGGATTAGTGCTTTCTTAGACCAACGTGCTGGTAATCTGCTCTGTGTAGGGCTCCATATCGCACATCCATACATGAGTATATTCAGTGTCATATGCAGAGCAGTAAACCTCATCTTATTTGTAAGATTTTTGCACTGTGGATAGTTGCTGAAACACCCACCTGCCGGCCCACTCGGTCAGGAGGAGGCCACAGAGCATCATCCTCTTTGGTAATTTCACTGTCATCAATTATTCTCTTCAGTTCCTCCATCACACTTCTATGTACATAAGCCTGAAAGCAAGTTAAAAAACAGAATTTAAACTGTATCGCTAAGCAGCATTCTGACTCAGATAGTGATGAAAAATAAAAGACTACTCATGAAAACTTATTTCTGTAAGTGGGAAGACATTCCGGCTTGACCTCAGCATGCCAAGAGGACGGCAGGGTCAGAAGTGCCCAATGACTACACCTCAGTCCCCCAACTAGTAGTTTCTATTTCTTGGTACATCCTGTTCATGTGGACCTACTCCTTGCCTACCTACAAAACTCACACTTGAGCCCCAAACAAAAGATCTGTGAGTAACTCTGGTTAATTTTAACTAAATGACATGCTTCTGAAGGGCAGAGATATGTCTTTTACATTTCACATATCAGTCCACATTAAAAAAAACTGTGAGGATGCTGACATGTGTGGGTAAGCATAATACTGATTGCTAATTAAATACAATAGCATGAGAATATACTGACTGTTAAGATAATATACTGACTGTTAAGGTTTCATCAAAGTGGTTAAAAGAATAACTTTGACGAAACCTTAACGGTGTGGTAGAAATCATGCCAAAATGGAGCACACGGACTTGACAAAGGCAGGCATAGGTCTGAATTCCTGCTCAATCTCTTACTAGGAGGTCTAACTTTGTATAAGCCCCATTATTAATATCTGGGCCTTCACTGTCTTATCTGTAAAGGGTATATAATACCACCCATCACAGAGACTTACAGTAAGGGTTAAAATAAGCTCACAAAAAAAAAAAAATAAGCTCACAGATGTAATACCTAGTGTCATGCCTGGCATCTAACATGCATTCAGTGATGTTAACTGCTTTCCCATGCTCCCTTTCCCCCATTCAAATGCAAATTAAAAGAGCTCTATTGAGTGCTAGGTACCAGGGAATATATCAAACACTAAGTTAGTGGGGGGGTAGGTTTTCTGTTTTTGCAGATGAAGCAACTGAAACTTATCAAGTTCAACCAGGAAGTGTGCCCAAGGTCACAAGGTTAGTAAGTAGCAGATTCAGGGTTCAAACCAAGATTTGCAAGACTTCAAATGATTACCCGTTACCGATTCAGCATTGTTAAAGAAAATATAAACTAAAAGAAGATTTGAGAAAAACTTTAGAAGCTATCTACAGACATGTCTATACTTCCCTGTTCTTTATCTTTCAATACTACTCACACAAAGAACAAAAACAGGACAAAAGGCTAAACGGCTCTCAGAGGATTCATTACCTCTTTTCTGATCATGACATCATTTTTGTAATTGCTGTTGTTGGCGTATCTCAATTTCCCTGTGAGGGGCAAAAAACAAATTCAATATATAATAAAAACATATAAATAAAGCCTGCCTTATCAGTAAACAAAGAATGTTGCCGCCATCAAACCACCAGCCACAGCACTCCCAGCTCCCTCCCCACGGGTGCACCCTGAGGGGATTCAGGGTGGGGGAAACAGGATACTGGCCCTAGATAGTTAAGGTGCATATCAAAGGAACGACCTCAAGGAGCCAAGCATCTTCCTCTACATAGGAAAGTGCTAACTTCTTTAACTTGGGCTGTCTGGTATTTCTTTAATTAATAGTTAATAGTAATATTTTGATGTTCTGACTACCTGTTTTTTTTGTCTTTGGGTTTTTTTTTTTTGCACAAACTCCTATATATTCTGGCTCATCCCTTACCTCTTCGGAACAGTCCCTCAAAGCTATCTGAGAGCCTGTCTCCCAGGCTTAAGTCCTCAGTATTTCTGCCGAATAAAACATAGTTCTCAATCTTTAGGTTGTGTTTTTTTTTTTTTTTTCAGTCGACACTATTAAATAGCCTCCTAGCCAAAAATACAGCTGACAACGAATTACAATTCTTGCAAAAGCCAGCTCAGGTGTGAGAAAAGAACAGACTCTTTTGTGACTGGCAAATCATGTCTCTGCAGGTTAATGTCCTCAGCTGAAAACAGGAGTAATTGATAACTCACCTGCACCCAGGGCCTTCTAAGGCTCAAAAGAGTGGTGAAAACTTCTGAAAACTGTAAAACACTTTTTACATATATTAACATGTGACTGTGAAAAACTCTCATCTATCCTTATGATGGAAAAGCTGTGGATTTATTATTGAGCATATTTGGTATACAAGGCCCTTTGTGCATATGTGCATCTAACAGGCTAATTTGGGTATATAGGGTGGATATGAAGGAGAAGATAAAAGGAAATAGAGGAGATAATTATTTCCCTATAGAAGGCACACTAAAAAGAGCCAAATTAATTGATGCCTCACTGCACTGTCTCTCTGCCTCGAGTCTCTCCTTTCAGGTCATTCTCCATACAGTGGATAAAGTGATATAGTAACAGATGGCTCTGATTAGGTTACTCTAACACTCTGATACCGACAATGGCTTCCCACTGCCTTGATAAAATCCAAATTCCTTAACGTGGCTTACTGTTAAGCTGAGCCCCTTTCCAGCCTCACTCCTATAATAGTCCTCTCTCACAGAGCTGGAGTTAATCAAACTATAGCTGACCCTTAAACAACGTGGGGGTTAGGGGCGCCCACCCTCTACACAGTCGAAAATCCGAGTATAACTTAAGAGTCTGCCAGCCCTCTGCATCTGCGGTTCCTTGGTATCTACGGTTCCTTACCCGAGATTCAACCAACTGTGGATCATGTAGTACCATAGTATTTACTATCGGAAAAAATTTGCATATAAGGGGACCCATGCAGTTCAAACCTTTGTTGTTCCAGGGTCAACTGTCTTGGTTTCTGCCTGAAACATCCTATGCACTTTTTGGGGTTTCAGCCTCCTTGCTGTTAATGCTGTCCAAAATGCCTTCTTGACTCATCTGCCTAACCAACTCCTACACATTCCTAAAGACTCACACACCCCCTTCCCCGTGTCATTTTATACAGGAAGCCTTCTTTGACCCTTCAGGATAGGTTAGGTGCCTTCTTTCTGCTCCTAGAATCTTCTGTTTCTTTCTACCACAACACCCAATACACTGTCTTGCTACTGTTAACAAAACTTTCTCTACAATTGGGGCTTGTCAGTTCATCTTTGTGCCCCCATTTAGTGGAAGTTTTCTGTCATCTTTGACTCTTTTTCCTTCACCGTAATGGCCACGCCCCAAATCAATTGGCAAAGTCCTTTTGGTTCTGCCTCCAACAGTATCCTAAATCCTTCCCTCTACTTTTACTATCACTCTAGTCCCAATCAACATCCTTTTTGTCTTAACAACTGTAACCGTCTCCCATTAAGTAGTTGCCATTCTTGCCCATTCTGCACCTAATAGTTACAATACTTTTTCAAGAACAGATTACATCTCTGCTTGAAACTTTCCAATTGCTTCCTGCTGCACTTAGAAAAAAATCTAAACTCTACCATAAACTATAAAGACTACACGGTGTGACCCCTGCATATCCGACATCATCTCCTACTATCCTCCCCAGAGGTCAGTACTCTTCAGCCACACTGGGCACCTGAAACATGCCTAACTCATCTCTGCCCTACGGCCTTGACACTTGTTTCTCCCTCTGCCTAGAATGCTCTTCTTCCTGAGCTTCACAAGGCTGGCTCCTTCTTGGCAATTAGATCTCAGTTCAAACATCTGCTCTTCAGAGAGTTCTCCAATGGCCACCCTTTCTAAAAGCGGCCCACCAGCAATTATTTCATCATTTTGTTTTATTTTCTGACCACTCATCACTATCTGGAATCTTTTTTTTTTTTTTACGATCTCCCAGCACGAGGATACAAGTTCCATGAAAGAGGAAGCCTGTCCATCGTTCACTCCTGCACCCCAGAATGTGCAACAGAACCTGGCACAAGATAGGCGCTCAAGTAATGTTTGTTGAATGAAGCATTATGGTCAAAAACGTCACTAAACAGAAGTCCCTGCACACATACAGAAAGAACCAGTGGGGAGGACATAGGATCGTTCCCTCCAAATCAGCGCCTCACAGCCATCTGTCCCTTCCTCCTCCAGTTCCTCGTACATTCCGGACCCCCGGCCTCCCCACTAGCCCGCCCCCAGGCCTAGTCCTCTCTCCCGGGAAGCGGGAGGCTTCTCTCACCGTCCGGCCGGAACTCAAACTCCAGGAATTCGTGGCCGAATTTGCCCTTGTGACCCACATAGTAACGCAGATAGAAATCACTCTCCATAGCTGGCAAAAGGCAACCAACACCAAACTTTAATAGCAAACCTCACCGCCGCCGTACGCGCCCGACACTGACGTTTACGGCGGCGCGCGGAAGTGACGTCAGGCAACGGCACGGCCTGCCGCGGAGAGACTCCCTCCCTACCCCATTCACCCGGAGGTGGGACAAGGCGGCTACGCCCCTCCCGGCCGAATGAAGCTGCATTTCCCCGGAGGCGGGGTCTGTGCAGCCCTGCCTGCGCATCCCGAGGCGTGAAGGGCCTAAGGCTGGTCGACCTGCCTTCTCCTGGGCTTGAGGCCGGAAGCCGTCCGTGGACTTCTGGGCCCCGCGGCGGGGGGCGGGGGTCTGGAGGTCGCGTTGCCTGACCTCGGGCTTAACACCCGGAATCCTGCGTCCCCCCAGGCTCCACCTCCATCTGGGACACCCGACTGTGTGGGTCGGAAAAGGCCCTTCACCGTCTCTGGACCTAGGTCGTCTCATCAGTAAAATAGGGTTAAAGGGAGACCTCAAGGGAGGACGCAGCGTACCACGGTGAATGAACGTACGCTCCGACTGAACTCTGCCTGTTTAACGATCAGTTCTAGAAATCCTTCTCAGCCACGCTTTCCCTGAATCCGCAGTGGAGCTTTTCATTTCCCTGCAGCTAACTCAGCCGCACTTATCCCGCATTTTATCTCTTTCTACCTTTTATTTCTTCCTTCCCCTTTCTACCTCACGGGTCTCTAGATGAGGTGCTGTGAATAGGACTTAAGTTGAATATTTGATCTCCCACTCCCCAGCACAGCTTACCCAGCAGTGATTCTCGGCCCGGCCTGCGCAATCGGATCGCCTTGGAGCACCTAAAAAAATACTGGTGCTTGGGCCCTACCCCAAACCAATTCAACCAAAATCTCCTACAGTGGACCTGTGTGTCGGTATCGTTGTTTTGTTTTGTTTTGCAGAGCTCTCCAGTTGAGTCAGGATTGAGAATTACAGCCCAAGAGGCTCTTGTCTTTTCAGGCCAAAGTGGTTGACCTCTGTGAAGGCTTTCTGGCTATGGAAAAATTTTCCTCCTTGCTTAGGCCAAGGGCAACAAAACTCCTAATTAGTAGAAGCCTGCTGTAGTTCATCTAAGTTCCAGCCAGAGGGGAAAATGGAGTTGGATCTAGAGACAATGCCGAAATGGCATCATTCTTGGCGCCTGTCAGTACACTATTCTGTATTTGGGCTAGTGGTCTCTTCTCATTCCCAGTCTTGCCATTACTACTTTTCTCCCAGAAAAAGAATTGGTAGCAGAGTGTAGAGTGGGTGTGATGGGGGGAAAAAGTCACTGGAGATTTGTATTAAAATAATCCCTTGTGTGACAGTGATTCACTGTGACCAAAGGTGAACTGATTGAATTTTTTGGACCTCAGGTTTCTTATCTTTAAAATGAGCATAATAATGTCATACATCTGGCAGAACTGTTGCAAGGATAAGAAACAATGTCTTGGAAATTGGAAAATACTTTGTAAACTGTAAATTACTATAAGGCATCTTATTAAAAAAAAAAAACAGTGGATGTGGGTGATAACAAGGGACTTGTATAAAAAAGAGAAGGGATCCACCGTGTATTAGGCACCTAATAAATGTCAACCCCTAGGCTGAGTCTGTTAACAAGTGCTTGTTCTTCGAATCCTCATGACAATCTTGAGGTGGTAGTTGGAGTTAAGTATTTAGAGACATTGGGTAATTACCACAAGGTTATTTTCCAAGAGTGAAATTATAAAAAATTATAATGTAATTGATGAATCTGGGCATCTGCAGATATGGCAAATATCAAAAGTGCTGAGAAAATTTAAAGGACACCCAACTTGGGCTTCCCTGGTGGCGCAGTGGTTGAGAGTCCGCCTGCCGACGCAGGGGACACGGGTTCGTGCCCCGGTCCGGGAAGATCCCACATGCCACGGAGCGGCTGGGCCCGTGAGCCATGGCCGCTGAGCCTGTGCTCCGCAACGGGAGAGGCCACAACGATGAGAGGCCCGCGTACCGCAAAAAAAAAAAAAAAAAAAGGACACCCGACTCCAATCAGGCTATAAGGTGATTTCAGGTTTTGGGGTATGAGGCCACATAGTATAGCTGAAAAAGCATGGTCTATGTGTCTGATGTGCCTGAAGTTAGCATAATTTAATGAGCATCTACTATGTGTCATGTGCTGGGAATACAGTGGTGAACAAGATATACCTTTATCGAGCTTACAGAGGAGGCAATCAAGGAACATACAAGCAATTATAATGTAGGGATAAAATTTACAAATAGGGGAAGCGCAGAATACTATGGAAGCACATGGAGTGGCTCCTAATCCAGTCTAGGGGGTCTAAGGGAAGTCTTTCTGAAGAAAATGTTCCAGACAGAAGGCCCAGAACTGTGTGGTTTGAATACAGAATAAGGTTGTGAATATAATAATGAGGTTGGAGAAGGGGTAGAAGACTAATCATGAAGGGCCTTACAACCCATATTAAGGAGTTTGGGCTAAAACCCAAGGCTACTGGATTTAAATGGAAGGAAAATGGATGACGGGCTTTAGGCAGGAAAGTGGAAAGAGGTGGTGGTGACATGACCTATTGCATTCTAGAAGGATCACTCTGGCTGGTTGTAGACTGGATTGGAAAATGGAAAGATTAGAAGTATGAAACTCGTAGGCAAGGAGATTAAAATGTAGCCAGAGAGGTCGGGGAAAAACCAGGAGTATGGGGTCAATGTAAGCCAAAATAAGAGTATTTCAAGACAGGAGTGGCAACAGTGTTACATACTGCTTCCAGGTCAGGGAAGATAAGGGCTGAAAATATTTACAAGGTTTGTAATCAAGGAAGTCCTGGGTGACCTTGGTAAAAGCAACCTCATCGGCATGGGAGTTAGAGGCAGAGCAGAAATATTGGGATACGAATGGAAAAATTTGTTGTGGAAGCACAGAATTACCTAACCCTATGAGTTAGGTCTGAGTCTGAGAGAATAGAGAAGGCTTCCTAAGGAAAGTACTCAAGGACAAATAGGAGTTAGCCAGATGAAGAGGCAGAAAAGGAAAATCGAGGCAGAGAACGCCACGTGTGCTACACGTACTTTGGGGGCACTAAACATAACTATTGACTCTGGGAAGTTTCTTCACTCATATTTCTCATCTCTAAAATGGGAATGATAATATTGACAGTCCTTATCTCACAATATCATTCACTCCCCCCCTCGTTAAAGCATCACAGTACTTTCATATTTTAAAAAAATGAATTTAATCTCTCTCTAGAAACAGTGCACTGATTTTACAAATGTCCACATTTGGTTTTTAGTTCACCAAGATGACGTTGGTACAATTAGTGAGATGCAGCACACCACCCTTTGCCTCTGGAAGAGAAACCAGACTGCAGAGGGGACTGAGTACAGAAGCTAACGGAACTCAGAAGGACAAGACAAAAAAGCGTAAATGGTTAGTGTGACCCAACATTCTAACATGCCTGTTACATCAAATATGGTCACTTGGGGGTGTTCAGAGGAAGACAAACAAGGAAAGTTCATTCGTGTACAACGTGATGGAGTTTGCAAACCAGTAGCTCACCCCACATCAACAACAGCTTGTATAGAACAAAATGCTATTTTAAAACACATGGTTTGCACAGATATTTGTTTTCTCTTGTAATTTTTGTAAAAAAGTATCAAAACCTTCACGTCTTTAAATATATATATACATATACAGGTGGCTTTTTAAAATTACTCTTTATAGCACAAAGTGTTTGCAAATGCAGAGGATTTCTGCTGATTCTTGACTATGTACATGGTGCATAGCCTGAATGAACAAAGCTTCCTGATTTCTTATATTAACTGAAAATTTGAAGCTGTAATTCCTCCACCTCTAAGTTCTCCATATCCTGAAAATCCCCAATACCCTAAAAATAGTGTGAGAAGATTCTGATACTCTATCTTCATGCATTGCCAGGAAAAGAAATTATTTACTCTGAAGCATTTAACTGATAACTCATTTATATCTTGTAAAATGATGAATAGCAGGTGTGAGGGTGTGGGATAGAGAGGCTCACATTCCTGTGCTCTCTCCCCATTCCCCCTAGCACCCCACTGGGCAGTGCTTGGAGTCCCCTCTGCAGACCCCACATCTTCAAAATTTCCAGTTTTCTTTTTCACCATTGAGAGAATCCCAGAGGCTCTTGACAACATGGAATCCTTCTGTGAAAATCCCACTGCCCTTCTATCAAGTCTTCATTGACCGTATCAAAAAACTTAAACTCAAATTTATGAAAAGCAGTCACTGTTTCCCTTTGGCCACAGGAAAGCTTGAGAGTGAAGACTGTCATGTCTGCAAAGTGCTGGCAACACATTCTGATCAATTTTCCATGATGCACTTGGTGCTTTATACACAGTAAATGACCAAGAAATGTTTCATTAATTGAATCAGAAAATAAATAGAAGTATTCTATAAAGTGCTTACATTGAACCTGTCTTTCCATCCAGCCTCGTTTCTTGCTAAGTCTCCCTTGAGCCTTTTGCTCATTACAATGAATTACATGCAGTTCCTTAAGATGCCCATGCTGTTTCATGCTTCTGTGTCTTAGCTCAGTGTGTCCTCTGCCTGAAGCAGCTTGGACACCCCTACTTAATTTCTAAGACTTAGCTTAGGGCCACTTTTCCTACAATGCCTTTCTTGACCCCATTCTTACACCTCTGTAAACTAATAGTACCCCCCAAAATATCTATTCCTTTTTTTTTGTTTCCACATGTCTTCCTCTAATTGCTTCTGTGAGTTCTGTCAGGACAGAAAGTGTTTGGCTGACCTGTACCTCCGCAGTACCTGGCACTTAGTTGGTACCTAGCAGATAGTTTCAGTGGATGAATATACATATTGCAATCACACAGAACTGGAGGGATGAAAAGTACTTATTGCTATACATTTAAATACGATCTCATTCTGAGGTTACAGTTTACCTCAATCTGTTTTATATGTAATCATGCTATCAAGAGTAAATAAATAAAATTTTAGTTTTCCTCATTTCTGGAAGGTTATTTCTGCCAGTGCTTTCAAAATTCCACCAGAAAGATAGGCCATAAGATAGGTAGCAGGTTTGATACAATGTTCGGGCAGCCCAAAGTAGTCTCCTGGAAAAGGAAAGTGAGGAAAAGGGCTGGGACTAGTTTCTTTTACACATATAAATAAGTGTCTGATAAATTATCTGCCCTTCAGGCCTTATCTCTAAGCTTCCTTCCAGCTCTGTAGTCCAATGACTCTGTGATCCATTGTTGGCTGTAGGTATATGATGACGCAGGGGCAAAAGGCCACAGAAGTGCAACTGTACCTCAAAACGCATCCAAGAATAGAGAAGAATGAACCTGACTCCTCAGATTTCATCTCATTTACTGCCATCCAACACATGAGTATTCCACAGTTTTTTGTAGGTTGCTTCCGTAACTGTCTCTTCCAAACTGCAGTTGTAGCATATTCAGGAAACATGGATGTCTCTCTGAAAGCTGTGTTTCATCATCATTTTGAGATCTCAAGCTGAATCATCCTGACCCTATTCATTTTTTTTTTCTGTGAAGGACAGGATCTGACTAAAAGTTTAGAAACTATGCATTAGTCACTATTATCATTTCCCCAGGAAATTCTATTTCTTTGCAGGCAGGTTACAGAAAAAGTTGCTTGTTTTGTGTAAATTTCAGTGCTTTTCACTTTCATGATTTTTCTTCAGTCAAAAATAATTTTACTTTCCATTCTTGAAAGAATAGTAGTAAGTGATTAAGCTCTATAGGAGTTGGCCACCTGTTCTTAAGATTGTTTGGTTTTGGTCATTCTAGATCAATTGCATATACCCTCTCAATGAATGTTTCAGGACTATCAACACATGTATATCATGAAGAAACTGCTTGCTTATGCAAAGCTTAGTGCCCAGGCTCCAGAATACAGTTATTTTCTCAGAAGACAGGAGACCAAGAGTGATGTAGAGAAAGGTCCTAGGAACAGGGTGACAGAACCCCAGAATGTCTGCCTGGAAATTCAGAGGGTATCAAGCTGGTGAGACATCCAAGCTTCACAGAGCTGGGGGCAGCTGGGGAGTAGAAGGGGAGGAATTTGCTTAAAAGTGTCAAGTTCCAGGTATGTTAAGGTTAGATACATGTCCTCTGCTCCTACTTAAACCAAACACTTCCATGTCACACCTTGTCCCTGGTTGTCCAGTGGGAGTGAAGTGGCAGAGCAGCAGAGTTAAGACCACACCTTGGATAAGAGCCAACGGGGACTGAATTCCTTCTGGGACTGCAGGATTATCTCTTCAATGGTAGACCCCACAAAAAGAAAAGTGCACTTCTCCCTGCCTCCCCCAAGGCCCAGGAAAAGCAAAGTAAGGTCCACAATGAAAAAAAAAATCTATACATATACCCAGAGTTTCTCCTTTTATTTACAAAGCAGTAAACCAAATCCCTGTGTGAACATATATATCCAATATACTGTAGTATTGTGTATGCCGTTTCCCCCGCAAACAGGACTTTAGGTTTCGCCACTTTTTCTGATTTAAGCCAAATATTAGTTTCATCTATGTGAACACATGATGGCAACAAACCTATGTATCACTTTAAATTGTTTTCTCCACCTCAAGGAAATGGTAGAGAGAAAGGGGAAGGGAGAAATAGAGATGTAACAAAACCCGTTCCTCCATCCTCATCCTCAACCCATGCATACTCAGAGGTCAGTGCCTGAGCCAGTCCCAACAGTAAACTTGGGCTGTTCAAGAAACATCTCCTTTTAGCTCTCTGTAAGTAAGGATGGCACCCTCAGTGTGCTTCAGAGGAAACAGTGAATTCAACCCAAGTGTCCTAAAAGAAAATGAAGTTACTTGAAATGCTGAACTTTAAAACAAGGAGTAGCCAAGGTTCAGGCATGTTCTCACCTGAGCTCGCGGGAACTTTGGGTACTGTGTGAAGTCTGTACACTGGCTTTAGCCACAGAAGAGAACCACAGTAGCCACGGGTGAGCCGAGGGCCTTCTGCTGACTGATTGGAATCCCAAGAACAGTCAGAGGCAGAAAAGATCTACCTCTCCCCACTGCATGTTTGCACAAACCATGGTATCTCTTTTCTGATCCAAATTTCCAAAGGCTTCTCTGAAAACTACAGATAACCCTTCTTGTGGACTGTTTTAAAATATATTTATCTTTATGTATCTGAACAACAGCCATAGGTGTGCCTCTTCTCTACAGATTTTTCTTTCTCACTCACATACACACATAAACATAAATGCACACAGAGTCCGGGTGGTAGGCCAATCATACCAAAAATAAATACTCTCACCTCTCTAAATTACTTATAGAACTAATCTTATTTTTGAAATATGTTAATAAATAATCTAAATGGGAGAGGGAGTTGAAGTGTTTTCTTCGTTTTACTTATGTTGATGGATAGCCACAAAGCATAATCATTCTATTTACAAAAAAAAAAACTCTGAAACCTAAAAAAGCCCCCCAAAACCAAATACCCTCTGTAAATATAATTTTTAAACGATGAGTAAGCTACTGTACCATCGGCCCCATTTGGTTATGTACATCACGTTAGTCACTCAGCAGTAGCTATTCCATGAATTCCTCATGGGTAGTGCAACCAGTTAAAAAGTGTATAAAACATTATACATATAAAAACTCTCACATCCTTTGGATGTTTGCAGTTCATCATAACTTTGTGGTTACCTTTCCGCAATATAAATTAAAAACAATTACACACGCACACACACACACACAGACACACAGACTCATGTACAGAAACCCTTCCATCCAGGCATACACCATCCAGGGTGTAGTGCATGGGACTGAATTCCGTGAGGCACGAAGGGAGTGGTCCCATCCTCAGGGCAGTCCATCATCTTCAAGGCTTAATGCCACTCGCTGGGGGAGACAGAGCAAAGAAATCATCATTAGACCCACTGGAGCTATTTATTGGATCACAAGGTACCAGAAATTCTATTACTTTATAGGCAGTAGCTCACATACTCTTCAAGAAGCTACCTCAGAAGACACGTTTGTCATATTTATTTTACAGATGAGAAAACTGAGACTCAACGAGCTTAAACAGCATTTGTCCTGGATCATATAGCAAGCGGGTGAACTCAATTTGAGCCCAGATCTGTATGAATCCAGAGCTATAGCTTTTTTCATTATTCTGTTCTGCCTCTGTAAAGAGGAGGGCTGTGGAGATCTAAACTTTCTCCATCCTCCCTTACAGGGTTTTAGGTTTGCTCAACTTCAGTGGGTTAGCTTTGGCAAATGTTTAATCCTGGGCCATTAGCTACTTGTCTCTAGCACGCTAGTCACAATCAGGAAGGTAACTGGCTGCACCCCTCCCAACTAATTATCCAGAATTGGAAGGCAGTGGAGATCAATTAAGTTTAATCCCTCTTTCCCTCTCCCCAACTTTCTAGTCATTAGATACTAGACTTCCCTCTGCCACAAATGGCTGACCACCCACTAACCCTTGAGCCAGTCTATTCCATTGTGGACAGTGGACTTAAATTCTTTCCTATGTTGTCATGAAATCTGCTTCTTTATATCTTCTGACGTTCCCTGATTCTCTCTCTTAGACTCAGAGAGTTCTACACAGACAACCTTTGAAATTTTCAGTGTTTGTGTTCCCTTCCCTTCCTTCTGAGTGTTTTCTTCTCCAGGCTACACATCTAGCTTCCCCAACCTGGTCCCGATATAATGCTGTGTCCCACTCTTCCATTTCCTGGATACCCTCCTTCGGATAGACCCCATTGTTTCAAGATCTTTCTCATCGCTATATGAATTTGAGCTAGCCACTTCACGTCTCTGAGCCTCGGTTTCATCATGTTCAATGGGAGTACTAATAGGACCTACCTCATAGGGTTGTTGGGAAATCAAATGGGATCATGTATGTAGAGTGCTTAATGAAGTACCTAACACACATGGGGTCCAGAGTATTCTAAATCAACCTAACCAGCATAAGATAGAACCAGACTAGCATTTCCCGTCTCTGAACATTCTATAAACAATAAAAAGTAACTCCACTGCCTTTCAAATCATCTTTGGATTATTTGCGGTTTTGCATGAATGTCACGGCCTTGCTCCACTAGACTATCTTTTTCTAGTCTGTGACCCTCCCACTCTCCTCAAGATAGATCTCTAGGCCAAAGTCAGGTCCTAGCAGTGATGGTGGAGCTACCTGAGAAGGGGACAGGGGAGAGAACAGGCTGTTGAGAATACTGATTTCCACAGCTTCAAGGCCATATACCCTGAGAAATAGTGGAAAGAGCATGGGCTTTTGTGTACATACAGACAGGAGTTTCAATCCTGGTTCTACCACTTCCTAGTTGTGATCCTAGGTAAGTTATTCAATTTCTCTGAGTCTCAGTTTCCTCATCTGCAAAATGGGGCTAATAATATCAAGTATATAGGTTCCTGTAAAGACTAAACAAGAAAATACATGTAAAACACCGAGTAGCGTCTGATACACAGTAGGTTCTTACTAAATGTCAATTTCCTCACTCTCCTACTCTATTTCTCTGCAGTTGGCAGGCCTTAGATTCATCAGGAATAGCTCCTCCTGAGTGGTTGTTCCCTTCTGTGGAAACAATGACACTTTACATGTGCAGAGCGCTTTATAACTCACAAAGCACTCTCACATGTGCTATCTCACTTGAACTTTATAAACTTAGGCAGCAGAGAGAATGGGGGTTATTATTCCCATTTTACAAATAAAAGTAATCAGAAAGAAGGGACTGAGATCACAGAGCTGTGGAATAGTGAAACTGGGAGTCATCTCCACTCTAAGCTCAACATTTCTTCCACTGTGCCCCCTCTGATCTTTAAAAATTGGTTAAGCAACTGTCTGCTTGGATTGGCCAAGGTTAAGGACCCTCAAGGCCATCTGCTAACGCTCCTCACTTGCTTGACCTCATTTCCCACGTCTCCCCTTCATGAGCAATTAGCTTCAGCAGCAATTCTGTCTGTCCTGCCCCATACTCAGTCATTTCTTCCACATGCCATTTCCTTGGTCTGCAACTAACCCATCTTTCATCTTTGCCCCGACACCCAACTCACAGTTTGCAGCCTTCTAGAACCAGAAAGCCTTCTAGGATTGACTGCACCTGCCTGGTTCATGCCCTCGCTCATCAGCCCCTCAGACTCAGAGTGGCACTGCCCTACCTTGCACTTGACGACAGGCAGCTCGGAAAGAGGGTTCTTCGGGAGTTGGTGCAGCTGTGACCTTGGTTCCCCCGGCAAGACAAAAAGCTCCTTGAGGGCGGGGGCTGGGTCTTCCATTTCTCTGGTCTCCCCAAGACAGGGCTCTGCCCACAGTGGGTGATCAAAGCTGCTGATTGCCTGACAGGGGGATGGACTGGATGACCTATGAGGTCACACCCAGCCCCGACTCCGCTATACAACCATGACATCTGCTCCAGCCACTCTGTGGTCCTTGATCCCCCAACAAGCCATGCCCTGTCGTGCCTCTCAGCCTTTGCACATGCTTCTTTCTGGAATGCCACTTTCCTCCTTCTCTACGTGGAAGACTGCTATGAGCCTTCCAAGGACACAGTTCTTCTGTCACCTTTGTTGATGTTTCCATAGCATTGGTTCAACAAATACTTACTGGGAGCCAAATATGCTGTGCTAGGCACCAGGGAAACATTAATCAGACAATCCTGCCCTCAAGGAGCTCATGTTCTAGCGGGGAGACCAATGAGTAAAAAGACAAGTAGACTATAGTGTGACAGGTGCTGTGATGGAGAGAGGTGGTGAGAGAACAGAGAAACCAGGGAAAGCTTCCTAGAAGAGGGGACCCTTGAGCTTCCACCATGGCACTCAGCACGCAGCTGTTCAATAGCCAGTGACTCTCTAACTCCCCCACCAGCTCCCTGGGAGCAAGTACATCCCTTCTTTACTTTTGAACACTTGGTATCTTATGTGGTACTTGGCACATAACTGGTATACATTGTTCACTGAAATGAATGCATTTGAACTGAATGGCCACAGTTGCCTTTCTAGGCCAAAGGTTCTGAAAACGTATTCAGCACAAAGACAGGCCTCTTTCCTCCAGGAAGAGCCTCTAGGTACAAGGTGGTCCTGATACCCTTCTATCCCAACCACCTACCCCAGAATTCCTGTGTCCCCAGGGCCTAGAACAGTGCCTGGCACATGGTAGGTTCTTGATAAATGTCTAAAGGAGGGAAGGAGGGAGGGAGGGAGGGCAAGAAGGAAGGAAGGGAGGGAAGGAGGGAAAGAAGGGAGGAAGGGAGGGAAGGAAGAAGGGAGGAAAGGAAGGAAGGAATTCTTCCAGCAAGGGACACTTACTGCTGGATAGACATGGCCAATCTGAGCAGCCCTCCCTATGTGGAGCTCATCCTCATCTTCTTCTGTCGTTTTCCTGTACACAGGGTTGTCGAAATTCATGCTTTTCGTGTTCTTCCGCTTCCAGTTTCTCCAGATCAGGTAGCCACTCATGCACAGCAGGGCTATAACCACTGGAGGAAGAGACACGTTACAGGGGATCTCCAGCAGGCTCCAGCCCGTTGCCCAGACATCAGTGCATTTCTCGCCACCTCTCCAGCTTGGCTGCCCCTTGTTCCCAGGCTCTGTTTCTGCATATTCTTTTTCTGCTGCTGGGAAGCCCTTCTCCTAGCTCTTCGTTCATTAACTACTCATCCTTCAAGATCCAGCTCAAAAGTGAAGACTTTCTCAACCTCTCACGGTACAGTCAGTTGTTCCCTCGCGTGTGTTCCCAGACCACAGTGTTGTACTTCATATATGTGTACCCCCAACTAGACTGAGCTCTTTGAAGGCAGGGGCCGTGCCTTCTTCCTCTCACTGTGCCCAGTGCCCAGTAGCGAGTAGGTGCTCAGTAACATGCTGAGTGAGTGAGTGAATTTCTTCACCACACTCTTGCCCTAATACTGCTACTTCCCTGGATTTCTCTAAGAAACCATTCTCTCCCAAAATTGGAGGGTGGAGGGTGGAGGGTAGGGTGCTTCTTTCCAAAGCTGGGGCTCTGCAAGAAGAGGAGCATCTCTAGAAGGGAACACAGCAGGGAAACACAGGTTCTGAGTTAAAATAAATGGATATATTAATGAGTTAAAGGAGGAAGTTCTCAGATAGAGCCGGGAGAAAATGGGGCAAACAGCTTCACGAGATAGTAAGCAGTCACCGTGAGCATTCAAGTGGAGGCTGGGTGATAGCTATCTAGGATGCTATAGAGGGGGTTTCTACAATACTTCGGTAAGATTATAATAATCAATAATAACTGATATACATAAAGATAAGAACAGGGCAAGGATGTCTGTTATCGCTGCTAGTATTTGTTGTCCCAGAGATCTAGCTATGCAGTGAGACCAAATAAAGAATTGAAGGGCACACGTGGGAAAGGGAGAAATCAAACTGTCATTAACAGATATTGTATGCTTGGAAAATCTTAGAAAAGCAAATGAAAAACTATTAGAAATGATTTTAGTTCATCAAGAATCAACAGAAAAAAACCAATAGCTTTCTTATTAATCAGCAATAACCAATTAGAAAATGGATGGAATAAGAAAATATTCCTAATAGCCCAACAAAAACTATAAAATACTTGGGATAACCCAATAAGGAATGTGCAAGTCCTATGTGACCTATACAATTCTACTGAAGGCCATAAAAGAAGGCTCAAATAAATAGATATGTCATGTTCCTCGATGGGAAGGTTCAATGTTGTAAAAATGTAAATTCTCCCCGCATCAATTTATATACCCAAGGCATAGGATTCCATCATAAGTTTTATAGAATTAACAAGATGATTCTAAAGTTCACTTAGAAGAGAAATTGAATAAAAATAACTAAGAAAATGTTCCAAGATTAATAATACCCTATTAGACATTAAAACATAGCATAAAGTTGTGTTTCGAGTATATAGGAATAGTATATAGGAATTGGTGGAGAATAAACAGCCTAAAAGCAGATCAAAGTACGTATAGGCATATAGTCTACAATAAAGATGACAATTCAAGTCAGAAGGAAAAGATGGACTATTCAATAATGGTCTTGTGAAAACTAGACAAGCATGTAAAAAAATACTTAAATCTCTAACTCTTGCTGCATTCTAAATTCCAAATGGATTAATAATTGAAGACTAAAAAATGCTTAAAATAGTAGAAAAATATATAGAGAGATATTTTAATAATTTAGAAAGAGGCAGACCTTCCTAAGCAAGACACAAAGCCCAGAAGTCATAATGTAGGAGATTAACAGATCTGATACTTAAACATTTTTAATTCATGCATGGCAAAAGAGACCATAAACAAATTCTAAAAATCAAGTGGCAGGATGGGAGAAATGATTTGTAACATATATTACAAAGGTTTAACATTAATTATGTATAAATATTTCTACAAATAAGAATAAGACAAGGAACCAATAGAAAAATAAGAAAAGACTGTGAATAGGCAATTCATAAAGGATGAAATGTAAATGGCCAATACGCTTGTGAAAAGATACTCTGCCTCCCAGGGAAATATCAGGGAAAGAATATTCATCTTTCAGCCCTCAGATAAGCAGAAATTTAAAATAATGATTCTATTAGGGCAGGTTACATCGGGGAAACAGCATATACATGCCCTTCTGTGGAGCAGAGTATGGCAGGAGAGGAGTTGATTTCTCTTTCACTAAACAATGTTGAGTATTTTCCACTCTACTCAAAATGAGCCTGGAATAGTCTCACCATCATCTTTACTAATAAAGCCTTTCAAGGCCAATTCAAATGCCACCTTCTTTAGAAGTGCCACTCCCTCTCCTCCACAGAGCATCGGGTCTCTATTACAGCACCTTATAATATGTAGTAACACCTCTCTTGTATCACCTTTTTTATGATTGTCTTACTAAAAACTGAAAGCTCTGTTTTTTTTGTTTTTTTTTTGCAGTATGCGAGCCTCTCACTGTTGTGGCCTCTTCCGTTGCGGAGCACAGGCTCCGGACGCGCAGGCTCAGCGGCCATGGCCTGCTCCGCGGCATGTGGGATCTTCCCAGACCGGGGCACAAACCTGTGTCCCCTGCATCAGCAGGCGGACTCTCAACCACTGCGCCACCAGGGAAGCCCAAAACTGAAAGCTCTTAAAGTCTTTTCTCTTTTTCTTCCCTGGATCCTTGGCACCTCGCACAGTCCCTTGGATGGTGTTGAAGTTTTTAAAACATTCACTCGCTAACTCACCACCATATTGGGGATTCTTAGGATAAAAGGGCCAAGTCCTTATCCTTGAGGTACTACACATGGGCAAGTAAGGGAGATAAAACGATGAATGGACAATCGCAATTCAAAGATCCGACCAAGAGAAGAGACTGGTATGAGAGACAGGATGTGCAGGATACTAAGTGAATATCAGGGTAAGAGAGAATGAATCAGCCCACATGGCTCTCTGTGAGGTTTAACCAAATGTTATATTCTGGCCATATTCCAAACCCACCCCACTCCCGCCCTCCCATGCCATCCCCATTCCTGGCTTTGCCCATGTTGTCTTCACCTGCTTGGGTTGCTCTTGATCCTTCTTCACTTGGCTGATTTGGCTCAAATAACTTTTCCTCTAGGAACCCTCCCCTGTCCGCTTCCCTCCTTTCCCAATTCCAAGATAAGTGCCTCCTCAGCACTTCTACTGAACTGCATATGGCTTCATTTTAGGACTTACCATGTCAGAATCAAATTATCTGTGTTATGTGTGTCTCTCCAACAAGTCTATAAACTTTTGGAGGACAAGAACCATGTCTTACTTATTTTTAATCACCTTCCCTCCTCTTATCACAGAATCTGGTACATCATAGCTGCTTGATAAATGTTTGTTGAAACCGAAACAGAAAGCAAGCAAGATAGCACGATCTATTAAAGGAATGGCAAGCAGCTCTATGAATTTTTTTTAATGTATGTTTTTTCTACTCAATAATTCGACAAATACTTTATTTCCTCTCCTGTGCCAGACACTGCTAAGAGCTGGGGAGAGTGGCGAGCAAGAGAGACACCAGACCTGTCCCCGTGGAGCCTACAGTTTGGCTTCACGTGGCTGGTGTGTAGAGTATCCATGAGGGGTAGTGGGGGAAATATGTGGATAGTTGTCTGGGGCCAGGTCCTGAAGAGCCTGGTGTGCCACGCTAAGAAACCAAACTAAATCAGGACTGGGAGGTGCGCAGGAAGGCGGCCAGGGCAGAAAAAGTCAGTGAGAGAGGTCCCTGTGCTAAGCGCTCTATCCTTCCAGTGCTTTTACCCAGACCCCGGGCAGGGTCTCTCTCTTCTCACCAGTGACTTGGGGCCACACTCACCCATAGGCACAATGATCCCAATGACAGCAGCAGTGACTGTTGAGCCCATCTTGCCACTTTCATTCCCATCTGCAAAACACAAACATTAGCAGAACGATGCTCCATCACTGTGAGTCCCAAGTCCTTGCTGGCCTCAAGCAGTAAAAACTACCCAACTGCTTCTTGCCCCCGTTCCGAAATGATGATCCCGGCTACTGCTTAATAATTTCGTCTTTCCAGATCTTATCAGGACAGAGGTCATCTCCATTTCACAGATGAGGAAACTGAGTCTTCTTGGGGTTTGGGGGACCCACAGAGAAGTGGCAGAGCTGGGATTCAAACCCAGGATTTGTGACCTAAATCCCTTACCCTTTCCACAGTATTTGGGTGGTAGGAAGCTCGGGGCTGAGCCCTTAGGTCTTTATGTTGCTGACTACCTGGGGCAATTGCCTTTTTCAGCCAGTATCTGTTGTTTTGTCTCTCTTATTTCTGTCTGTCCATCTGCATCATCAGTTTTGTTTTTTTTTTAATAAATTTATTTATTTATTTTTATTTTTGGCTGTGTTGGGTCTTTGTTTCTGTGTGAGGGCTTTCTCTAGTTGCGGCGAGCGGGGGCCACTCTTCATCGCATTGCGTGGGCCTCTCACTATCGTGGCCTCTCTTGTTGTGGAGCACAGGCTCCAGACGTGCAGGCTCAGTAGGTGTGGCTCACGGGCCCAGTTGCTCCGTGGCATGTGGGAATCTTCCCAGACCAGGGCTCGAACCCGTGTCCCCTGCATTGGCAGGCAGATTCTCAACCACTGCGCCACCAGGGAAGCCCCCATCAGTTTATTTTTAATGAGTAATTAAAATGAGACACAGTATAGCATAGTGGAATCCAGAGCACAGGCTCCTGGGTCAGACTTCTAGGGTTCAAATCCTGACTCTACTACTTACTACTTCTGTGACCTTGGGCAAGTTGTTATATATTATAAATATTATATTTCTTTATCTTTAAAATGGGGATAATTATACACCTGCTTCCTAGGGATATTGTGAAGATTAAATGAGATAATTCATGTAAAATGCTTACTTAGCACAGTCTCTGGCACAGCCTTGCCTAGTTCAGACAGGCCAGGGAGTGGGGTAGGGGTTGTTGTGAGGCCTGAATAGGGTAGATAAAAGCACTTTCTAAACTGAAAAGTGCTTGGAAATTGTACTATATATATATATTTTTTAATTTATTTATTTATTTTGGGCTGTGTTGGGTCTTCGTTTCTGTGCGAGGGCTTTCTCTAGTTGTGGCAAGCGGGGGCCACTCTTCATCGCGATGCGCGGGCCTCTCACTATCGTGGCCTCTCTTGTTGCGGAGCACAGGCTCCAGACGCGCAGGCTCAGCAGTTGTGGCTCACGGGCCCAGTTGCTCCGCAGCATGTGGGATCTTCCCAGACCAGGGCTCGAACCTGTGTCCCCCGCGTTAGCAGGCAGACTCTCAACCACTGCGCCACCAGGGAAGCCCGTACTATATATTTTTAAAAGTAGGTTGTGCCATCTTTTCCACTCTCTTACACTCATCTTCATTACAACATCTGTACAGAACTTTTTAGTTTAAAAAGCAGTTTTCCCTTGGATCCTCATGACAGCCCTCTGAGGTGTGGAGAGGAGCTATCATTTGCTCCAAGAGAGGAGATGATTGTCTCCTGGAAACGGCCCAAATGCTATCCTCTCAGTGTGTCTGTTTCTCCAAGTTACTCCAAGGGAGCCTAATTATTAAGGGGAGAAAAGAGCTGCACTGCTTACAAAGTTTACTGTGGAAATGCCGTTCTCCTCTCCCTCCGGGTCCCAAGCAAACACAGGACAGTGATATTAAAGCCTAGAGCGTGATGAAGCCAGTGGGGAGACCCTCTGGTCGGAGGCTCACCCAAGTGAAAGGAACTGGACTTCACACGCGACCCACCCGCCTCTCCGAACTTCAGGATAAGCGCTCAACTCTGAAAGCGCTCCTGCTGGCAAGATGGGCCTGATTATTAAGGTGCTACCACGCTGCTTAGTTTCTGGGCCATGCACATATGGGAAAAAATTTAAAAGATAGTTTATCCTCTTAAATGAACTCCCCCAGCAGGTAACTCAATTTAAAAGGTATTTGCTGGTTAATGAGATAGAACATTTCTAGCAGTGACAATTACTGCTCCCGATGATTTAATAAGTGGTGAACTTAGTTATTTTCATCCCAGGGTTTGCAGAGAGGCACTAACAGACCACAGTTAAGGATATCACTATGTGGGGAGCCTACCGGGAGTGCTGAGAACTGAGACCAGGGCATTTGAAACTTCCAAATCTGAGGGATGCTCCCTCATACATGTCAGTAACGTGTGACACAGACACACTATCAGTCAGCAGAGGCTGTGTGCCTGAGCACTTCTGTTTACACGGATGCCTCTGCTCTCGAGGCAACCTTGCGAAGCAGGTAGGGGAAGGGTTATTATTACCCTACTTTGTAGGTGAGGAAACTGAGGCTCAGAGATAGGAGGTAGCTTCCCTCGAGACCCTCTATAAGGTAGGAGCACCTATGACTCCTAAATTGCGGGTTGGCACTCTTCCTCCCGCTGCTTCCTCCCTGTAGACAGCCATTATTTAGCTCTGGTATGACCACTTCTTCCCACAGATCCCCCGATCCTGGCTTCCCTAGGACCCTCCCGCGTCATGAAAGAAGGCAGAACTCATTTCCTTACGATGCTGGGAGTGGTTGCTGGTTGCAGGGCTTGGGGTAGACGGGTTGATGCTGGGAGCCCTGGGGACACTAACTGAGCTTGGGACCGCTGCTGCCAGGCTCGGTGTCTCTGTGCTGTGGTTCTGGTAGGCGGGGCTGTGGACGGTGGTCCCAGGGGCTCTGGTGGTGTCGGCTACTGTCCTCGTTGTGGTGGAGGCTAACGTTGTAGTTGAGGTAGACTGAGGTGCTGCGGGGGAAATATCATGAAGGTCACTGGACAAAGAATTTTGCTGTTTTAGTGCCTAAATTATTGCCTCGATGAAGTATACTTATGAACTCATCCTCATGGCTCAGCTCAAACTCCTTCCCTAATCCTACTGAATGGGCTATGAGTTTTACTTTAGCTGAATGCCAAGCATCTTGTCTGTGTTTATACTGCATTTCGATATGATAAAGATGAGTCATTAGGACAATGCTATAGAATTAGGTGTGGGCAAGACCACGATAAAAGACTGGGAGGAGTGGAAATTATATAAATCTAGAAGGAGTTTGCATGTATACTGGCACACTATTAGGTTCAAATTCTCACTCCACTTTAAACAATTGAACCTGGAAATCACGAATGCTGCAGCAGACTTATGCTCAAACAAAAGGCCTCGTGCCTCCATCGAGACTGGAGGATGGATATAAATTTATATGGTTGAAGTATTAACTGACTGTTAGTCCCAATCATATCACAAAAGGGCTGCTAGATAGTGTGTTAAGTCCTGGGTGAGAAACAGGCAAGACCATAGTCACCTGCATATAAATAGTAATCAAAGCCACGGGGATCAAGGTTTCTTAATTTGAGGTCTTCAGGGGATTCCTGATCCCCCGAAACTGAATTTAAAATGTTGTATGTGTATGTGCATTTTTCTCGGGAGTGAGAAGAGAAAGTCTTGGAGGGACCCTATGGGACACCAGCATTCAAGGTCGGTACAGAAGAGGAGCCTGCAAAAGGCAACAAGTAGCCAGAGAAGATGGAGGAAGACCAGGCGCACATGGTTTTCCAGAAGTCGAGGAAAATTTCAGCAGATGGGGTCTGGCATTGCCAGGGGCCATCCCTCCCAGTAGCTCTGCTCACCTCGGTAGCACCTCTTCATGTCAGGGCCCAGTCGCATTGTGTCAGGACAGGCACAAGTGTACCTGGGGGAGTGGCTGGACATCTGAGGAGCAGGAAGGCACAGGTACTCACAGCCTCCATTGGGCTGGGCACTCAGCTCGCAGGCATCTGCAGCTAATGGCACAGAGAGAGATGGGGAGAGAGAGTACTGGGGCACAGACGGGATGTGCCAGGCTCTGCCTCCCCCACGCACAAGGCCCTTCCCACTCGGCTAAATCAAAACGATTTCTCTACTACTTTTACTGGGCACCTTCCGTCACTGTACCTGCTGTTTTATCCCCACTCTTTCTTCCTTTTTTTTTTTTAAACATCTTTATTGGAGTATAATTGCTTTACAACGGTGTGTTAGTTTCTGCTGTATAACAAAGTGAATCAGCTATACATATACATATGTCCCCATATCTCCTCCCTTTTGCATCTCCCTCCCTCCCACCCTATCTAGGTGGTCACAAAGCACTGAGCTGATCTCCCTGTGCTATGCGGCTGCTTCCCACTAGCTATCTATTTTACACTTGGTAGTGTACATATGTCCATGCCACTCTCTCCCTTCGTCCCAGCTTACCCTTCCCCCTCCCCGTGTCCTCAAGTCCATTCCCACACTTTCATTTAATGCTGATGACAACTCGGGGTGGGGGGGTGTTATGCCCAGGTTAACAGATAAAAGACTGTGGCTCAAAGAGAACAAACTTGTCAAAGCTATACCTCTAGTAATTTTGGAGACAATTTAAATTGAGGTCTGTTGGACTCCGAAGTCCATGCTTTTTCCTCCCTATGCCACATGCCGTATCTCTTTCTTATTCAAATTTCTAATCGAGAATCAGGCACCAACCTTACCTCCTTACCCCTTTTTGCTTTCCCACCTTCACCCTTCCCATTACAGTTAGAATGAGTATATCCTAGTGACAGAGGAAGGGACAACCTAATTGCAGGATTCCTGGCGTCTGTTGCCAACCAGCAAGCTGACTTACTGACGGCCCTAGGATGCATTACTTTATACCACTGCAAAGGACGAACAAATAGCAAATGAGAAGCAATGTGCTCCTTTATGGCAGAAGGAGCTCTGGAATCAGACAGGCCTAAGTTTAGGCTTTAGCTCTACCACCTGCTAAGGTTATTTTACCCCCATGAGCTACAGTTTCCTCAGCTGTTAAATGAGAACAGTGATATCCATACTTTGTAAGAATGGCAAAAACGGGACGTTTGTATGTTTATTTATTTCTACCCAGCCTTAGTTCACCAAGAGCTTGAGGCAAAATGAAGTAAGTATGTGACAGCAAGGCAGTCCGCCAATGACAGGGACTGTTGCCACTACTTCTGGGGACGCCGAGACGTGACATGCGTGTGAGCACAGCCTGCCGACTAGAGGGAGAGGACGTGGGCGGGGGACCTGGGACTGGGCAAGGCTCACCTCTAGGCTGCTTCAGCTCATGGAAGATGGCAATGTCATGTGGGTTATTGAGGTTCTCAGCTAGGACGGAGATTTCCAGGCCATTGAGCCGATTTGCGCTGAAAATGGCCTCATTCTCCAGGTCTGTCCAGAACACCTTGTCCTGTGGGGTACAAATACAGAGGATGGGAAGCCTAGAGCTTAAACCCATGACCTCAGCCCGAGGGCTCGGCCTCAAACCATAGTCACAGGAACTGCTCTGGCATCTCCCCTGAACTCTCTTGTCCACAGGTTCATAGCGGGACTCTCAGCTCTGATCTGTGGCATAGGCTCTGGTTCCCTTCTGTCTCAGAGGGTTATTCAGTGCTTTGGCCTGAAGGCTGCTCATCAACGCTGAGCTAGGCCTGCTTCCTGGAGTTCAGCAGAAACCAAGGTTGGGTCTCTGTAGCTGTTACCATTACTAGGGCCTGGGACCAAGATTGGAGAGGATGTATGATCTAGCGAGCACTATCCCTATGGGGTAGGAGTACAGCCTCTGGGTGTACACGCACACACATCCGATGGTTGGTCCACACAAGCCTAAATGTGTATCTGCAGGCAAATCCACGTTTATAGGTACAACCGTGCAGCCTCATGTACAGATCTAGACACATACCCACATGCTCATTTACACACCCAAAGGCACACTTGTGCCTAAAATGAACTTGTCTAAGTACTGGTATGCATATTTACACTCACAAGCACTAGCACATACAGGAATGCACATTTTTAAACAGACGCATTTACGTATACACAGGCACGTACACATACATGCCACATATACGGACAAGCACAAACACATGTGTCTGAACACACCTGTCTTTCGAAGCAGAGGCTGGACTCGGGAGCTGGAGCTTTGCCCACAATTTCAGAGCTGTGCTGGGTGATGTTACTCCAAGCAAATATTGCCAATGCCCACCACAGGCCACTGTCCCCTTGCTTTCCCTCCCCTTGGTGGCAGAGTTAGTTTTTGGGAAGAGGTATGGGTGTGCGAGAACTTGGTCGCTTCTGGCTTCCTCATTGCCCAAGGAGAAAGGTTGTTAGGGTCAGAACACAGGAGGGTCTTGACTCTTCACCCTCCTTTGAGCTTCTTGAGGACGGGGATGATGTCTGATTCACTTCTATGACCCCAGGGTCCAGCAAAGGTCAGTGAGAGTGTGCTGAATTGAATAGCATCTCTCAGGCCATTTCCAATAGTAAATGATACTAAGGAAATGTGTATTCTTTTTCCCTTTCTTTATTGGGTACCTTCTGTATACGTGGGTACAGTGCTGGGTGCTGAGGGTACCTGGTCTAGCAACTTACCTGTGGGAAGTGCTCTGAGGGAGAGGTCTTGGGGAGGAAGCACAGGAAAGGCTGCCAGGTGGACAAGGGGCTGCATAGCCTCTGTCTGCAGACAGCTCACATATTATGTACAAACAAGCCAGTCAGCTTCCCTGTCCCTTTGTTTCCACTTGGATGAGTCTCAGGGAGTCATCCTATTTGAACAGCCTTTCCTAGGCTTCAGCTTCCTGATGGGGCCATGCCTCCCCTCACGGAGCTCACCTCAAACACAGCTATCCCGAAAGGGTGGCTCAGGTAGTCAGGGGAGGAAATCAGCATCTTCCTGTTGCCTCCGCTGAAGTCAATGCTGGACAGCTGGTGCAGCTTGGAGTCCACCCAGTACAAGCGCTGGTTCAGCAAATCTTGAGCAGGAAAAAGGGACAAGGGGATCGGGTTGTGAGCCTGGGACCACAGCCTGGAATTCTGCTCCTCTGTGGCCCTTCCCTGCCCACATCTCCAGGCCGGGCCTCAGAAGGAGGCCAGCCCAGGGCAACCATCAGGAAACACAGGCAGTGGCACTATAAGGGGACACAGCAACAAGACCCATGGAGCCCCAGGCAGTGGTCAGCTCCAGGCGCTAGAACAGGCCCCCCAGTGGGGGAAGGCAGGGCTTACCCAGGGTGATTCCGTTGGGCCACTCAATACCGTCTGACACCAGTGTCTGCCGGTGCACACCGTTGAGCCCAGACTTCTCGATCTTAGCCTCGTACCCCCAGTCAGACCAATACACGAACCTAGAAGAGAGAAGAACCCAATGGGCTTCTTGTCAGGGGACATGATTGGGATGGTGTGGGTCACAAGCGCTCAGTGACCCTCTGAATATTGAAGATTACGCTTAGTGAGGACTGGAAAGACCTCTGAAGTTCACGGGAGCCATCAAACCTTAGCATTGGCAGGCGTGTCGGTCTTCGCCTTATCTGAGTCCCTGGAGAAGCCTGTATTCCCAGAGTCCACCTGACCTCGGCTGAACAGCCTTTCAGCCCATCTGTCCCACTTCAGCAGCTCCAGCTACAGCCCTAGCGTGCCAGAGCAGGAAGGGAAGGGCCCTTTCAACCCTCTTACTTTCCTGGTTGACAGAGGAGAAAGCTGATGACCTAGCCAGGGTCACACAGCTAGAACTCTGTCCAGGGCTTCTCTCTCTTTTTTGTTGAACATTTATTGAGTATTTACTAGGTGAGTGGCCTCATCTCATGTGCTTACAAATGCAGTAATCACTGCCCCTCTAATCCAATCCCTACAGAGCAGACAAAATGAGCTTCTAAAATGGAAATAAGCTGTCATTATCCTGGTTTTTGAAATTGAGATATAATTGACATATGACACTAGTTTCAGGTGTACAACATAATGATTTGATATTGCAAAATGAGCACCACAAGAAGTTAGTCAACATCCAGCACCACACAGAGCTACAATTTGTTTTTCTTGTGATAACTTTTAAGATCTATTACTCTCCAGTTTTTAAACTTTATGATGGTTTCTCCTATTGACCTTAAAATCAGATCCCAAATCCTTACCACATCCGACAGGGCTCTGCATGACTAGGTCCCTGCCTACCTCTCTGGCTGTCTCTCCTGCCACCACTGCCCACTTCCCTTACAAACTCCACACCCGCCGCCAGGGCTTCTCTTAGATCCTTCGGGGCACCAAGGCCTTCACAGAGCCTTTGCCCCCACTTGTTTGCCATTTAGAACGTCTTTTCAGTAGAGAACCTTCCTCCGACCCTCAATGTAAATAGGTTCTCCCTGTTACTGACTCTTAAAACACCCTGTTTTTTCCCTCCAGAGTGCTCACACCATCGGTTATTTACGTGTGCATTCGGTATGTGGCGTATCTGTTTACTGTCTGTTTTCCCCACTAGTCTATGTGCTCCGCTGAGGGCAGGCTCCTTATCTGCCTTACTCCTCATTTTGTACCTGGCAGGTAGCTCGTGTGTGGCCTACAGGCCTTATTTACTATTTGTTGAACAAAGTAGCCTCACAATTACCCCAGGAGGGTATAATTATTAGTCCCATTTTACAGATGAGTAAACTGTGGCTCAGAAAGGCTGACTTCCCTAAGATCACGTTGTGAATAAGTAGTAAGGCCAGGCTTCAAATTTAAGTTCAAATTAAGTTGGACTCTAAAGCCCGTGTGCTTAACCCTCCCCAAAATGCCTCTGCTGAAACCTGGTGTCAAGCCAAGGCTGGCTCCAGGCTAGGGGGCTGCGTGGTTGTTCTGGATCCCTTCCATTTGCCACTTTGAATCCCATCGCCATTCTGCTCTGTATACCAAAAGGCTGGCGCATGTGGGAACCACATCAATGGGCTGGGCTCCCTAGCCGTCTGGCTTCCAGTTGTATTCAGCAAAATATCGGAGGGGGAAGGGGAGAGACTGAGGTCAGGATGTCTATTCCCCTAACTCCCCCCTACAAAGTGCCTCCAGCTGGCTAATGCCCTAAAGGTGACCCTCTCTACCCCGCTCTTTCCTTCCCAACTCGGGTAACCCTCCCTGCTCCTGCCCCTCAGGCCTGTTAGCTGTTACTAGTCCAGGATAGTGCGTGAGACCTTACCCGCTCCTTTGTCAATAGTCCCTTTATTAACCGGCCTTAAATTATCTTAAAATGAGTGTGCAGTGGGTTTTCTGGTGGGACCCTGACCGAGCCACAATGGACCAGGAATGGGCTGGGTGTAACTATATGGTTTGGGGGACATGGCAGGTGCAGCCCCAGGTCTGTGTGACAGCAGACAGAGAACAGGGTTGAGGTGGGGGTTAAATGAGAGGACAGTTGTCTGCAGAGTGCCTGGATGCACCTGTGCTGCCTATTAAAGCGGCAGCTGTCGGTCGCTTCCCAAGGCCACGCACAAAGGCCACGCACACCCTCTCAGGTGGCCAGCCTCACCCCCAGCTGCCCTCACTGGAAGAAGACGGTTTTCTTATCCCTGCTTAACAATTAAGGAAACAGCAGCAGGAAGAAGCTGGTGATCCTGGCAAACATGATATGATGCCACTGCTTAAAAACCATGTCGTCTCAGGACATCCCCACTGAGGGAGGAGGGAGCCGCGCTCTGTTCAGAACCCTACCCCTGATATGGAGGCATGGGCAGAGCAGGGCAGCCTGGGTGGTGAGGGGCCCAGAGGCTGTGGGCCACAGGGATGGGGATGGAGGCGGGCAGGCTGGAGCAGAGCTGACCCAGTAATCTCAGTCCTCAAATCTTGCTGGCTGTCCTGCAGGGCAGGGAGTAGACATGCTAGAGGTAACTCCGGAGGCCAATGTAGGAAGTCGAAGAGAGGCAGATATGGGAACGTGAGAACGAGACAAACAAAAGAATACTTTCTAATGGGCAGAGCTGCCCCAAAATGAAACAGGCCGTATGAGAAGTGACAAGCTCCTGTCTCTGGAAGTGCGAGCAGTCGCCAGATGCCCACCTGCAGCGCGCAGCAGCCTGAGGGAAGACTTCCTGCCCCAGGAGCGTCTACCAGGCAATTTCTAGCGCCCTACCCGGCTCTGAGGTGCTCTGCTTCTATGATATGGTGAGAGAGTAGCAGAGTCCTGGGAGCGCCCTGGCGACCAGTGCGCAAGGGACCCTGGGTCAGGGGTTCACAGGCTGAGGGGCCCGCACGGACTTTCTTCCCTGTGGCTTGTGTCTGGGTGGCCCAGGGCCTTCCGAAGCCCTCAAGGCAGCTCTTGGGACAGACACATGAGGACTGAGCGCCTGGGGCAATTTGGGGTGGGAACACTCACCCTCGCAGGGGGTCGACGGCAATGGCCCGGGGTTCACTGAGGTCACGGCTGAAGAGGGTGCAACGGCGTCCGCCATCAGCTGTGGCCACTGAGATGGTCTTGGTGCCCGAGTCGGTCCAGTAGATGTGCTTGTGGACCCAGTCCACTGCCAGGCCCTCCGGAGAGTGCAGCTGCTCATCGATGAGGACCTCCTGCTCTGCCGGGTCGCTGGCTTTGTCCATGTAGGCGCTAGGAGCAACCAGGGCTGGTGTGGGCAGGTGTGCCACCCCCGGGCCCATCTGGAGCTGCCCTTCCCCTCTCTCTTCCCTCTGGGCCACAGCAGTGCGTTGGAGAGGAACTTGGCTCATTTGCACTCAACACATTCCCTGGGCCACCAGGGTAAGGATACAGGCTCAAGTCAGCCACGGTCTCTGGCCTGGAGGAGCTCAGTTTAGTAGGGACAGAAATTTACCAGATAATTACACCAATACACTGTGATTACAGAAAGTATCAGAGGCTATAGCAGCAGAGTAATGGAGACTACATCATCCTGGAGGGCTGGAGAAGGCCTTGTAGCTGAGCCCTGAAGGACCAGTCTGTCAGGAACACAAAGAACAAAGGCAGAGGGAACAGCATGTGCAGGTGCCGAGGCGTGTGCTCTGGAACAGTGACGGATCCAGTGGGGGTGGAGTGGGGTAGATGGGGTGTAAGACAGGAAGTAAGTGTAGGTAGGGGCCACATCCTGACGGGCTCTGCACGCCACACTAAAGGCTCAGGATTTCACTGTGGAGGGGTAACTGAACAGGTCTGAGGACATGGCCAGAGAGGCATGTCACATCACTGTGGCACCTGCAGAATACGCGAGAAATTGGAGGAGGGCGGAATGAAGGCAGGGAGACCAGTTAGGAGGCTGTGACCGCATCCAGGTGAGAGATGAAGAGGGTGTGCAGAAGGGCTGAGGCAGTAAGAATGGACAGAAGGGGCCACAGTACAGCAGACACTCAGGAGGCAAAATTAGCAGGGCTTTCTCTCTCCCAAATGCTTTATTTCCCAAGGTTTTCTTCTCCACTTACCCTCTCTTCGGGTGATTAGTTCCACAGTGCCCACGGCCATCCACAGCTCTGACCCTCTGATCCTGACAACTGTCTAAGTTCCAGACTATAAAGCCAACTGGCCCCCGTCGGACGTCCCATGGACACCTTGAACTCAACACATCCCAAACTGTTCATCCCCATTCCCCTCCTCTCAGCCACACAGACGGACTGCCTACCCCCCACCCGAAACTCCTCCCCTGCCTCCATCTCAGAGGACGGTACCACCGTCCACAAAACCTCGCAAGCCAGAAACTGAAACTCCCAAAGTGAACCTGGGAATTCATTCTGACTCATCCTCCCACAGCTCCATAACCAGGGCATCATCAAATCCTGCCTCTTTCCGTCACAACCATCGGACAGGCACTGCTCAAGCTGCTTCTGGGTGTGCGAGTGGGTGTGAGTGTGTCTGTGTGTGCTGGGGTGTGATAAGCATCGAGTTGTCGGTGAGCAGCACGCACACTGCTTCCATCCTTCCATCCACCATTCGTTCAACAGTCCGCCCAGTGCCTGGTCATCGGCAGTCCTGCCAAGTGGATCTCAGGACAAAGAAAGGGGGCTTGGGCATGCAGAGGCTCCTAGGAGAGAACCTCCTGTGTGTGCGAGGAGCCTTCCCAAGCGCCAGAGTCCACTGACTGTGGTGTGCAGGTAGTGCCACCCTTGACCGCCAGATTGGGTCAGAGGCCTCCTCTATACTTTTTCCTCTTGCTCATCACAGTGGATTCCGCTATGCTCTGAGTGGGATCCTCCAGGCAGGACCAGGTCTGAGTCATCTTTGAGTCCCCAGCATCCAACACACATATATGTGAGCTGCTCTGAAAATCCCTACCAAAGCCCAGAGGCTTCTTCCTTTCCGCCCTGGCTGAACATTTCCTGTGTCTCGCACTGCCCCCTCAGGCCGCCAGAGGTCAGTCAAAGCCCCCATGCGTGGGGCTCAAAGCTGCTCGCCCATCCAAGCCCTCAGCCCCGGAAGGCCCAGCAGGTGGAGAAGTCCTGGCAGTTCCACAACCGCTGTGATCCCCCGTGCCTTCCTAAGCCCGATCTCTGTCCTGGGGAAATATAGAGGCAGAAGGGGTGCAGAGGCCACCCTTCCTCTCCTTCTTTGTTGGCCCCAGCCCCACCCCCCAGGCCTGGTTGCAGGACCCAGGCCTCGACTCACCTGTAGATCTTGCGGTAGGAGAGGTCACACCAGTAGATGCGATTGGTGGCAACTTCGACGTCCAGCGCCACGACGTTCTTGAGCATGGGGATGAGACGCGAGTAGTCCCGCTTCACCAGGTCTATCCTCCGCACTTCGTGCCGGTTGGTGAAGATTAGGGACGGGCTTCGGCCAGCTGCCATGCAGGGGGGTTGAGAGGGAAAGGGTCAGTGCAAGAGGCGGGGGATCTGGAGACCATGGCTCTGCCACTGGTTTGCTGGGGGGACCCCTCATTTCCTGTAAAAAGTGGTGACGACTCCTACCTCACAGGTTAAAGAAGCAGGTGAAATGATGGCTACAAAAAGCATAAGATGAAAAGCACCACATGTAACAGAGGGATTTTTATTCTTTTTATCGCACACAAACTCCCCCCAAATCTTTGATGACTCCCCATTTCCTCTGGCCTGCACGGAAGGCCTTCTGCAGGATGACCCCAGCTCCGCGTCCAGCCTCATCACTAACCCCCCTAACACCTTGATTCCGGCCACCAGACTACCTGTCATCACCTTGCCACAGCAGAGCTTTGCTGCCTCGGGGCCTTTGCTCAAGCTGTCCCTCCACCTAGAATGCATTTCTCCCCAGCAGCTGCCACCTCCTCTGCTTGGGCCCCACTGCAGCGTTCAATAAGGGGCAACATGAGCGTTAAATGATTTAGAAAGATGACTGAGGCTGCAGAATGGAGCACGGACCTCAGGGCTAGGGGTGAGACTCGAGGGAGGAGATTCGAGGAGGTCGTTGTGAGTCTTTAGTTTATGCAGAGGGTACTGGCATGAGATGACTCTGCACATGCTGGAAGGGACCAGATCACAAAGGATCCTGTGATCCAGGGGAAGAGTTTGCACTTTATTCTGAGTCAAAGGCAGGGGTGGGATGTGTATAATATGACACAGATTATATACGTGCAAAGGGACAACACACAACCTCCCGTGTATACACAAACCCATTTTTAGATTTAGGATTAGATTTTAGGAAGATCTTCAGTGAGCTAGACATTCCTGGCTACTCCATGGGGAGGGTCACTGCCCCCCAGGCCTATGAGGGCCTAGCACTTCGCACAGGCCGCCACTCCTCCAGCCTGTTTTCAGATGGAGCGGGCCACTCTCAGGCACCTGCAATACTGAATGGCAATACCTGCCCCTGTACCTTCTCCCCCTCTTGTTTTCCAGCTGACACTTCTGCAGGCCACCTGGTTCCTGTCACTGTCCATCTGTGCCAGGCTAATGTGCTCCCTGGGGACAGGGTAGGACCAGCACAGAGCCAGGTGGGGCCTGGGGCTGGGTGTGTGACCTGTGTGTAGTGATGGAGATTATTTCAAAGCAGGGTTGGCGTGACAGGGAAGGTGTGGGACAAACAGATACCATGGAAAACTAGAGGTCTAAGCGCAAGGAGAAAGGAGGAAAGCTGGATTCAAGACCCCAGCTCCGCCACTGACAAACTGTGATTTTCCTCACCTCACAATGAGAGCAAAGACACTTCATCTTCCTGAGGGCAGGAGCTGGGTTACAGGGTACCTTGAGGTGATTTTTTCTGAGAGCTGTGACTGTGACAGGAACCCTGTGTGTTTATGATTTGAGTTTTTGAGTAACTGCACTTTAGGCATTCACACGTAGGGGTTTGTGTATACAGGGGCCATTGTATGTTGTCTCCACTGCACGTATGTAATCCGTGTTCTGTGTCACACCTGTCCCATGTGGGGGTAAGAACAGGTTGCATGTTACATGTGATGGGCTAACGTATGTGCTGTACCTTGTGCAGTTTGGGTGGTATATGTTTTGGGTTTACGGGTTACATGTCAATTATTGTAGCTGCTGTGTTGTTATAACCTATAGAATGAGTATTCGTGCATCTGAATTCCAGGTTCGTATATCCAACAGCCTACACAATACTTTGCTTAGATGTCTAAACGGTTTTGTTAAATTTAACATGTCCAGATCAATCCAATATTCTCCCAAACCTGCTTTTCTCACCGTCTTTCCCAACTCCATAAATAGCAATCCTATTTTTCCAGTTAGTTCGTCAAAAACCTTGGGGTCATCTTTGACTCCTTTTTTTTCTTTCACATCCTACATTTAATTCATAAGCAAATCCTGCTGCTTCAAAATAAATCCTGACCTTCAAAATATATTCATACTGTTCACTTCTCATTATTCCCACGCAAGGCCCTGATCCAAGCCACCATCGCCTCTCTCCTGGCTGACGGCAAGGACCTCTGCAGCAGCTCCCCTGCTTCCTCCCCTGCCCCCGACAGTCTATTCCCAACACGGCCTCCAGAGGAAGTCAGTTAAAATGTAAGGCACACCCTGTCCCTCTACTCTGAACCCACAAAGGCTTCCTTCCCCCTGAATGACGGTGAAACCGAGAGTCAGCCCTTAGAATGGTCTCGAAGGCCTTTGTGATCTGCCCCCAAGTCACCTCTTGGACTTCATCTCCTCCTATGCCCTGGTTGCCCTGGCTGCCCTGGCTTCCTCGTTCTTATCTGAACACAGCAGGCATGCTGCTGCCTTCGGTTCCTGCAGGTGATGCATGGCTCACTCCTTCAGGCCTTTATTCAAATGTCACCTTCTCAGTGAGGGCTTTCCTGACCACTCTATCGAAAACTATAACTTCTCTACTTTATATTTCTCCTGAACCCTCATGACCATCTGCCATGCGCTGTATTTATTTTTCTGATTTCTTGTCTGTCTCACCAACTAGAGTGTAAGTCCCATGAGGACAGACAGGGATTCATGTCTGTTTTGCTTACTGCTGAATCCCTAGTGCCTACAACAATGTTAGGTGTTCAGTGTAAAGACCTGAATAAAACAAGTGAATTCCGTTGGCTGACGTGACGGTCAACGTTAGGTCTGCACGTGGCCTGCTCTTTGTGTGGGCTGCCCGAGCCGTGTGTAGCCAGCACGGTCCAGCCTGTGTCTGGCACTGTGTGTCGCGCGAGTGCAGACTCTGTGGGCTGTACCAGGTGGCGCTGTGCAGCGTCTGCGTGGGTGTGCATGCACAGTGCATCGTGTGTGTGCTGAATATTTACACTCTGAGCACCGTGTGTGCAACCTGCCATCTGTGTGTGTACACGCAGGTGTGCACACCCGCTCCTCACGTATGGGAAGCACACTGCTTCCTGGACTCCCTCAGAGCTGCTCCCCTGCCCCCCCCCACCTCGCAGTGTCCGTACCGACGGCCTTGCAGTTCTTGGTCAGAGTGTCCATCTCGTAGCCAGGGTGGCACTCGCACTTAAAGTAGCCCTTGTAATTGACACAGATCTGGCTGCAGGCATCTGGGTCCTCACACTCGTCAATGTCTGTGGGGGGAGCAGAGGTCAGCACTGGCCGGAGGAGCCGCCTCCTTGAGGGGCTCGGGGAGGGGCTCACCACCACAGGTCTTCTGGTCCAGGAGCCGGTAGCCCGATGGGCACGTGCACTCAAAGCCGATCCTGAGGTCGGTGCAGATGTGGGAACAGCCGCCATTGTTGTGTAGACACTCGTTCAGCCCTGGGGAGGGACGTGGGCTCCTGAGGGTCCAGGAGCTCAGATTGGGGTGGGGGCAGGACAGGGATGGGCCTAGAGCTGAAGCAGAGACTCGGGGCAGCGAGCTTCCCCCAGAGCCTCACTGAGCCTCAGCCTCATTAGCCAGGTGACTGGGCAAGAGGAGGCTCAGAGAGGGCCAGGTCACATAGGACAGAGTGGAACCAGAACTCGGGTCCTTTGCCTCCCAGGCCAGGGCTCTGTCCACCACCAGGCTGAAGGCAGCTAGGCTGCCTAAGGTCTTTCCTTTCACAAACACGTTTCTTATGGCTCCTCCTTCCTTGTGACCTCAGAGTTGAAGGTGCCTGCAGGTACCATGTCCAGCCCTCAGGGACCCCAAAAATCCCTTCCGAAATGCCCTTGCTTAAACACCCCCAGCCTCGGGAAGCCTGCTTTCCTCCTGAGGCAGCTGGCTCTGTGTGGGGTTGACCAGAGTCCAAATGACTCCCCCAGAATCTCCTTAAAGCGCCGATTCCTGGTCCCCCGCCATTCAAGTGCCTTTCTCTGCATGCACTCCATCTGTCTGTGTCCTTCTCCCGCAGGGCCCAGAGCTAGTCTGCCACCTAGGGGAGTCTGAACGACAAGCGCTGCCCGCTACTGAGCTTGTGGTTATCTAAGACTGCCAGGCCTCTTTCTCCACGGAGCTGTTGCTAAGTCAGTTCTCTCCCACCGTGAACTATGGTGGATTTTTTCACCTCCTCTCATTTCAGCACCTGTCCCTATTCCTACACTTAGTCACAGGCCTGGTCCCAATATTACCAAATGCAGCAAGGGATGAAGGGATGCCAGGAGGTCATCTGGTTCCCCGTCCTCCACTCCTTTACCACCTCCTGGCAGGGTCCTAGCGGAGGTCAGGGAGGCCAGGACCAAGGCTCAGCAAGTTCTCACAGCATCTTTGGGCTTTAGAACCACAGAGGGTTAATTCTGCCAGCCAGGGAAGGTGCCGTGCCACCCTCTGCCCATCAGGCCCACGTCCCACCACTCCAGCCAAGCCAGGCAGAGCTGTGCCCGGCCAGCCAGGGCCATGCACACAGCTGGTCTGAGCTGCCCACCCCAGGCCATGCACAGCTGTGGTGCCCCACCTCCAGCCTGAGCCATGCTTAGGGAATGCTCCTCTTTACCCCTGGGCCGCCTCCTGTTTCTCTGGGATGTTGGCAGAACTGAAAGAAGAAGACCATAGCAACCCCATGACTCGGGGACCGGGGGGTGACTCAGCCAGGCCCAGCCCTGGGAAGCCCCAGCCCCTCGGGGTGGGCTGAGCTGTGGTAGCTTTGCGGTGGTCTCTGTAGGGTACCACCTCCAGGACTCTTTCTGTCACTCCAAGCCCTCCTTGACCTCTCCCACACCACACTATTCCCTCCTGTCCATTCACTTGTTCACCAGTTCACTCACTTCCTACCCCGCCTTCTGCAGGGGCAGCAGCTCAACCATTGTATTTACCGACCACTGGGTGGAGGGGCATGTGTAGGATGGCTCTGCAAGGGGAAAGGGGAGAGCTCCACGCGACTCAGGCTTCGATGAAAGACCAAGGAACTGAGTCCTCCAGGGCTGAGGTGAGTCAGGGTCAGAGAACGGGTAGCGGGTCCCGAGCTGTCTACCTCCGTCAACCCTTCCCTGGAAGACCAGTGCTGAGGCAGAGGCTGAGGGGAGTCTCCGGGCCTTCCCAATTCTACCTACCCTGGAGGTGATTCTGCTGGGGGGCCTGCAGGGTGGGGAGAGGGGAAGGTGGCCCAGAGAGGCCTGAGGAGCATTTGAGGTCCCCTGTTGAAGGAAGGGGCAGTGCCCTTCTCCCAGCACGCACGCCCACCTGCATGCCCACACCTGCATGCACACACACACCAGCTTACGTGCACAGGCAGGCACATTCACACAGACGTGGGAGCCGCACAGAGATACATGATGCAATTCCCTTGCCTTCCTCAGAGAAGGAGCCATGGGTACAGACACTGGCCTCTCACCAGCACAGAGACACAAACACATGCGTACATACGTCTCTTTGGTGTGTCATGCAAAAGACAAGAGAGAAGAGAGTTTAGCAGGTTAGTAGTCTGCGGGTGGGGGGCGGTGGCTAGGCTCAGCCGCTCCTGCTTCCTTATCCTCTTTTCCATAACTTCCTTCCTCTGGGACTTTCCATGGCAGGGCCTGGGGGAAGTCTGTCACCTGCAAGCTCAGGTGGAGGCCGAGGGACCTTCTCCTGGCTACTCCTCCTTCCGAAATCAATTTCTTAACCTTCAGGAGGGGCAGAAACGTGCTATTCCAGGGAGCTCCAGGGGATGAAGCTCCTCTGAGGGCTCAGGAGGCGAGGTACTGGGCGGAAAAGGGTCTGCCAGGAGGGTAGGGGAGGGAGGGTCTGACCTAGGCTCTTTCCCCTGACCTCAGAAATGAACCTTCCTGGAGCCCACGCTGGGTGTCCTGCGTGCTCTCTAGGATGCCCGCCCACCTACGGTCCAGACTCTCCTGTTCTTTTTAGCCTGGAACCCACCCCTACAGCTCTGGCCATCAGGACAGCCGCCTCTTTCCACTCCTAACTCATGTCTAGCCCGTGAGTCTGGTCTCCCAGAAAGCTTCTCAGGATGGTGCCACCCTCTGCTGCTGGCTCTGCCTTATGCTCACCCGGGCCTGGCCTGAGCCCAGTGGCCTCCAGATGTGCCTCGTCTGCCCACCCGCCTGCTGTTCCCCACCTCTTCCTCTGCAGGCTCTCCTGCAGGGGGCTGGAAGGCCTCGGAGGCCAGCGCCCTGGCTAGGTCGGCAGGGCAAAAATAATGAGGAAGAGAGAAACTTCAGAGTGAGCACACACTCAGAGGTCTGAACGTGGAAGAAGTGAGGAGAGGCTGCATTTGTGAGAGGAAGCATAATTTCTGAGCATCTGGAAAGGAAAGGCCCTTTGATTTGCAGAGTAGCAGAACAAGAGACCCCAAAGGCAAAGAGCCCCATCTGAGACCATGGGACAGCACACGAGTCCAGAGAGAGGGTCAGATCAGAATGTGTGCAGAGGGGCAGGCGAGGGCTGGGGGCCAGGAGGGGGCGTGGCAGGGAGGGTTAGTCCAGCAGCGGGACGGAGAGAGGTACTGTACCACACTCTTTCAGAGGTTCATCTGACCAGTCCCGGCAGTCCCTCTGAGCATCACACACTTTCCCGCCGTCCACGCACTCGCCACTCTTACACTGAAATCTGCGGGGACCCTCACATGTTGACTCTGTCGGGCCGGACAAGAGAGTGGACAGCACCGGTGAGACCTTGGGCAGGGAGGGCTGGGGTGGGCTGGGCCCATGGGAGGTGAGAAGAGCTCCAGCCCCAGTCCCTGCTGGTCTCCAGAAAGTGACCCAGGACAGACAGCTGAATACAGGGCCAGAGGGAGCTCTGCTCACAGAAGGACAGGACCCCAGGGATAATCGGGATACCCAAGCATCATCTAGGAGGGCAGGGCATGGGGCTCTGCGTCTGATCTGTCAGTATTAGGGAACTTGGAGGGAAAAGCAGCAGCTCTACAGAGACCCTGGCGGATGCACTGACCATCTCCTGAGGGGGACCTATGCTCCAAGTGCCCTAGATAGAGGAGGCCACGTCACTGCCCAATCACTGATCCGTTTCTCCAGATGACCACTGGGTCCGGGTCCCTGCTGCTGCTGCAGGGTGATGACCGCAGAGCCATCTGAGAATTAAGTGGGCTCCCTGGGAAGTGGGACTCAGCCTCTGCTCAGTCTGGGAACGAGTGAGGGAGGCTGCTTGGAGGCGTAGATGTGGACAAATGGTGGGGGCTGGACTTCCTGCAGTGCCTTCATGTCCCCTCTCCCTAGGCCTCTTTCAGCTTTTGCAAAGTCCTTAAAAATCCAGGTCTAGTGCCACTAGGACCCCAGGAAGGGGATCTGGGTGGTTTAGGGGCAAGTAATGCTCTGAGGGAAGATGCATCTTAGGGACCAAGGGGTCGCTGCTCTCTACGGAGCCGGGCGGGGGGAGCTCAGGCATTCGCCTCAGAGGATGCTGCCCCTTTGCCGCTGACCACACGCACCCTGCAGGCAGCCAGCTTCATCACTCCTGTCCGGACAGTCCTGTTCCTGGTTGCAGCGCTTGACGGCAGGGACACAAGTCCCATCCCCACACCGGAACTCGTCTCCACGGCAGGTGCCCAGCGCTGCCAGGAGAGGGGAAGGGGAGAGAGTCAGGGCCGTTGTGGTGCTGGGACAGCTCTCCTCCCCCAAGCTCCACCCTCGCCCCCACTCCATATCCACCCCTGGCAAAAACAGAACCGGTCGCTGAGCTTGGGAGTCTTCGGAGGACACCTGGCCAAGGCACAAAATGGGAAGACTGAAGCTCAGAGAGGGGGAAGGCCTCACCCAGGGTCACACAGCACTCTGGCTGGCAAAGTCAGGACTACAACTCAGGTCTCCTGTTTCCCACTCCACCGTCTCTCCCCAGGGCCACCCCTCCAAACAGACACGTGGTCTTCTTTGGAGTCTCCGTGCTCCTTACTTAACGACCTCATCCCTTCAGCAAACCCCTCCGGAGCGCCCAGTATGTGTGCGGTGCTGTGCAGGGGTGGGGAACACAGAGATTACTAAGAGACTCCCCATCCTCTAGGAGCTCAAGGGTGCACAGTGGGGCTGAGGGGCGAGCAACGAGGGCCTCACAGTGTGGATGTGCTGTAAGAGAGGGTGCCAGGGACCTGCAGCAGCTCAGGGGAGAGACGCAGCCCAGCTGGGTCCATCAGAGGAACCTGGGCAAGGCCTTGAAGGATGAGCAGGCCCAGCAGGTAGGCAGGGTGGGGGGCTTCCTGAGTGTACCAAGGTGTCTGGCATTGGAACCACTGGCGACTGCTTGGGACAGGGAAGGGCAAAGATGGGAGGTATGGGGGTGGGGGGGAGCGTTACTGAAGGTCACAGGTACCTGTGAAGACCCTGAGCTCCGCAGCTTAGCAGCCACGTGGCCTCACACAAGTCACTTCACTTTTCCCAAGTCCTGTTGCCACCGTTAAAACATTACTAGGATCAGAGTAGGGCGAGGAGACGCGGCCCCTCGGCGGACAGTCGCGCACCCGCGGCTCTGGGCGATACGGAGGGGAGGTGGCTTACGGCAGTCGGCCTCGTCCGACTTGTCCTTGCAGTCGCGGTCGCCGTCGCAGCGCCAGCCCAGGTGCACGCACTCGCCGCTGCGGCAGGCGAACTGGGAGGCAGCGGCGCAGGCGGCGGGCGCGGACGTGGCCCTGGGGCCCGCGCGGCCGCAGAGCTCGGCCGCCTCGTCCGAGCGGTCCTCGCAGTCGAACTGGCGGTCACAGACCCAGCGCTCGGGGATGCAGGCGCCGCCGTCGCCGCCGCAGCGGAACTCGCGGGGCCCGCAGGCCGGGTCGGCGCAGCCACGCTCGTCGCTGCCGTCGCCACAGTCGTCGTCGCCGTCGCACACGAACACGGCGGCCAGGCAAGAGCGGTTGCTGCACTGGAACTCGTGCGGGGCGCACACTGCGCGGGACAGAGAGCCGGTCGGCCCGCCGGACCCCATCCCCGGCGCCCCGGCCCGCTGGTCCCGCTACAGGGGCCCTGACCCTCACCCGCGGGCCAGAATGAGCCCGGCTGGGGGCGCCGAACAGGGGACAGCAAAGGGGGCCTCCAATCCGGGTCCTGCCAGGGTCATGCTGGGCGACCTGGGGCAGCACACTTGCCACCCTGAACCCCCCCAGCCACGTTGGGAGTAGGAATTCCCGTGCTGCTCCCAGCAGGATGGTGGGACTAGGAGAGTCTCTAAAGCAGCAGAACACGCCCTGTCTTGAAGGGCTTTGTGATGTTCTCAGGAAACGATATGTAACATGACACTGACACTTCCAGGGAACAAGGTCTGGACCTGCTTCTTTACAACACAGCTCAGGTCCCTCCCCGTCCCCAGTTTGCCCAGAACTACCCTAAGTCCCTCGGCTTAGCATCCAAGGCCACTGGCATGGAGCTACTGCTCTGCCCCATCACCTCACTCCCGCACATGCTCCGGCTTCACGTCGCACACTGGACCATTTGTACACTTTCCCACCTCCCGGCCTTTGCCCAAGCTGTTCCATCTGCTGGGCGCCCATCTCTCGCCCACCACTGTCTCTGTATATCGCAATGATGAGTTTGCATCCTTCAAGGGCCCAAATTCTACCTCTTTCATAACACACTTCATGCTCCCCTGCTTGGCAAGTTTCCACCCACCTCCACTCTCCTTTCTGGTACCCTTCACAGCCTGCTCAGGTGTCTGGGTCTTGTGTCCTTCTCTGTCTGCCCCATGACCACAAACTGCATGGGGGTGGGCTCTGAGACTGATCCACTTTTGTTCTGAAGGCCCGACACAGAGGAGCTCCCTGCAATAAGTGGGTGTGGTGTGGATGGAGGCTGGAACGGCCCTGGTGTGAGGAGTAATTTAGGGATGTGCAGTAGTTAAGGGCACAGGTCACTGGCCCTGCCTGGGGCCCTGGGCTTCCCCTCTCTGGTGGGCTGCTCTGAGCTCAGAGGCTGGGGGAGCCTTAGTGACCACCAGCCCAACTACCAGTTTACAGATAGGGAAACTGAGGCCCAGAGAGAGGAGCCATTTGCCCAGGGTCACACAGTCAGTCCATGGTGATGAGGGAACCAGAACTCAGGTTTGGGGCTCTTACTTCCTACTCTAACTCATCTCGGCTTTCTGGTTTTCCTCCCATCCTGGAGTGTAGGCTGTTTCTAGAGCAGCGACCTGGCCTCCTTCCCTCCTTCATTCCTTACACAGAGGCCAAGAACAGGCCTGGGGGCCCAGGCAGGGTGTGGATGCAGGAGCTGTGGCCACAGGTAACTCAGTGGTGGCAGCACCAGATATCTCCACGTGGGGGCGCCAAGAGTCTGTGTTTTTATTTTCCGGTGGGGAAAAAGTCCTTTCTCATCGTTAGGGAACATAAAAGAGAACGATGTCTTCAGTTTCACCATGTAGGGCAGCTCGTGTCATGTGTTGCTGACAGCGCTACCAAGTTTCTGACAGATGCATTTTTTTCCCCTTTCTGGGCTTTTGGGATGTTGGGGCATTGGTGGGAAAAGCACACCCTGCCCTGTGATGTCTGCCCCTCAAGATTAAGCTGATGCCTAGGTTAGCCCCCCTCCTTCCTGTCCAGACAGGGACGGAGGACTCATTACGATCAGCGTTCTGAGAAGAAGTGCTGTCTTTATCCTGAGTTCACTCCAAGGTTTCGAAGCTGATAGCACCTTGAAGATCTACATCCTCAGGCCTGCGCCCAGGGACCCCCCTCGCCCAGCATTCACGAATGGAAGAAGCTCTGAGGGATGAGAGAAGGGAGAATTCTTTTTGTTTCCCCCCGTGGTTGGGAGCTGAAGCAGAGAAGCCCCACAGGCCCTTCGAACACCACTATCTCCTATAATTAACAGGAAACAGTCCTGCCACAACATGCCCTTGTTAGAGCTATTCCTACCCGCTGCGGTAGTGGCCGATGGCCTTGATGACCGAGGAAACATCTCATTTTCAGGGGGTAGGGGAGGGAAGAGGATTCTCACTGGCCAGTGAGGCCCCACAAAATTATCACAGCTGAAGAAATGAGCCAATGTCATCAATGGGGCTTTGAAACTGCTGGCCCCAGCCAGGATCTGCCCCCATAACCAGGTGCTTCCGGCTTCAGACATATCCAAACTCCAGACTCAGAACCCTAGAGTGCTGTGACTCAGAAGCCCTCAGAGGAGATGGCATTCCCCTGGGCCAGGAAGGATGGATAGGATGAAATACAGAAGCTGATGAAGGGAGGGGGTGGGAGACAGTTGTGGGCAAGTGCTTGGCAAAAGCCCCCAAGGGATTGCCCAGATCTCAGCCCAGCCTCACAGCCTTGTAATGATAGCCAGTCTGTCTACCCCGTTAATCATGAGCTCCCAGAGGGAGGACTGTGTAGCAGTCACCTTATCGGCCCTTTTGGAGCCTGGCTCCGGGCCTGGCACACAGTAGGTGCCCATCAAATATGTAACATGCACGGTCGGGTTGTGCTCCCCACTGGCCCAGGCCCTGCTGGCCCGCTCCCTGGGAAGGAGATAATCCCTGTGTTTGAAGCTCAGTGATGTGGAACTGCCCCAGTGACCACTTCCATCTGTCCCTGCCGAGGCTGCTGGGAATGTCTTCCTGCCCTATGGCACCGGGGCTCAAATCTGAGATTTTAGCGACAGTCCCCCTCCCTACCCCTGACACTGCCAGTGCCCTGGCCCGGGCCACCACCATCTCTCACTACGGTCCCCACCCTGGTCTCCCTGCCCTTGCTCAGAGATCAGTACAGACGTATGGAATGGATGAGCAGATGTCAGGCAGGCATGGTTTAAGAACGCATGGATTTTGCTGTCCAGACCTGAATTTGAATCTCAGTTCCATCACTCAGATGGAACTGGGCACTTTTCCTCGCTTGTCTGAGCCTCAGTTTCCTCACCCACAAATGGGGATGATAATGGCTGTTTGTGAGGTGTTTGTGAGGATGAAAAAGAATGTCTCTGCAAAGTGCCCGGCCATTACTAGTGTCCCGACCGTTACCTTTTCCTCTCCACCTGCCAAGCCCCCTGGAGAACCTGGCCCCTCCCCACAAGCGGCCACTGCTCCCCGAGGCTGCCTGACTGTGCTTGGCAAACCCTGGGGACCTGACCCCGGACTCACAGGTGGCACAGCCGGCCTCGTCCACTCCACTCTCGCAGTCCTTCTCTCCATCACAGCGCCACGAAGCAGGCACACACTTGTGGCTGGTGGGTCCACAGCTCAGCTTCTCTGCGGGACACACCTGCTTGGCTGTGGAGACAGACACACGTGCATGGCTTAGCTGCGGGGGACACAGGGCATGGTGCCAACCGGTCCTCCTGCCTGGCTCCAGCCACCTGGCCCGAGGCCCTGGGAATCCACCAGGGCCTTCCTGCCCCATGTCTCAGTTTCTTCGTCTGAGAAGAAGCCCCTGTCTTCCCCTAAGACTTCCTGAATCCTATAACTGACCCCACCACTGCCCTGCCTAACACCCTTTCGTGGCCCCCTGGCCCCTGGCCCTCAAGGCCCTCCTTGATCCAGCCAACCCTTGCCTGCCTCACCGGCCCGACCTTCCACCCTTCCAAGCCTTCCCTTTAGGCTCCAGCAATGTGGAGCCGCCTTGCCCTGCATGAGCCTCTGCCATTTCCAGCTGTGTGCCTTTGGGTGAGATATGCCCCATGTGGGCCTCAGTTTGCCTTCCAGATCGGTGACTCCATGACTGCAGATGTGAAGGGCTCACCAAGGCCCCAGCAGCTCCCTCCAAGCCCCTCCCCTGGCGGTGGTGCTGAGCCCGCTGCTGACAGCAGCCGCCGAGCGGCAGGGCCCAGCGGGACCACATAGCTCTAATTACTGCAGCTGCAATCAGGCTGACCCAATCAGGGGCTCGAAGCCCCAGGGCTGATTCTCAATTTGGAAGAAAGAATGAGAACCCTGATCAGGCCTGGGGATGGCTCTCATCTTGAGCGTCCCAGAATGTCCCACGTGACAGACCCAGCTGAGGCAGATACATCTCAGACCTCCGCGGCTGGCTCCCTCTGCCTTTCAGGGGGTACACGAGGCCGAACTCAGTGGTCTCCAGGATGTGCCAGGCACAGAGCTAGACGCTTCCATTTAATCTTTACAACAACCCAGCAGGATGAAGATTATGTTGGGGCCTCCAGCACGAAGGTCGAGGCCATGGGCTCTGGGGCTTGGCTGCCTGGGTTCAGCTCGGTCACTCACTGGCTATCTAACTTGGCCAGCAATCCTCATCTCTGTGCCCATAAAGTGGGGACAATACTATTCCCTATCCCACAGGATTGTTACGAACACCTACGTTAATGTCTGTAAAGCACTTAGAACGCCCAGCCAGTGCTCACTAATGATACCTACTATTACTCTCCACGCGTAGAGCTGAGGACTTGTTTGTCCCCTCAGTGAGTAGCTATTGAGCACTGCTGTGTACCAGTCATGGCACCCATCACCAGGTACTAGTCACACAGCTGTAAAGAGCCGAGCGAGGATGCAGTCAGCTGTGTCTGATGCCAGAGACTGGGCACGGTCCACTGCACCCTGCAGGTGCCTTACCCTCAGTTTTTCTCTCTGATCTCAGACCAGTTTTTCTTCCTCTTGCTTCCATAGCTGGGGTGAGAGGCCACAAGAGATGGAGAAAAGGGCACAGACAAGGTGGGGTTGGGAGCAGGTATCTGAGTCAAGGCGCCCAGACACTACTACGCTGTGGGAGAGGAGTACCTCGGATCCCTAACTGTGGATCCCAAAGTTATCCCTAGGAATACATTTCACAAATATAAGGTGACCTGTTGGGAATACGGGATTCACAGGATTCATTTTACAGAAATTTCCCTTTACAGATACTGTCGTGTAGAGCCCTGGAAAGCACTGACACTCAAAGACCCTTTACAACGGCCTCCTCGGGGTGAGTGCAGGGTGGTGAGCGGCCTGGGAGTCAGGAGAAGGGCCCAGAGCACCTCCATCACCCACGCACTGCAAGACCCGAGAAAGCACTTCCCACTCTGGGCCCAGCAGAACACGAGGGGGCTGCAGCGACCAGCGTGTCCTGGAGTCCTGACTAAGGGGTGGGTGTGTGAGGGCTGTTAGAAGTGCAGGTTCTTTGGCTCCAGCTCACTCTAGACTGAATCCAAACTTCCGAGGGCAGAGCCCAGGCATTTTAGCCAACTCCCCCCGACTTCACCTCCCCTGGTGATTCTCATGCACCCTATTTGAGAAACCCTGAGTTATCATTCTACAAGTCTAAAAGATATAGGATATTTCATCTCTTAAATTCACTCCCAGAAAAGTGATAGAGGAGGTTCTGTATGTTTGCAAGCCCCTGAGGGACCCATGGGATGGAGGGACGAGGCAGCCATATATCCCTGCGCCAGGCCTTAGGAAACAGAGGAGCTGGCGGGGAGCCACATTTACTGGGCACCTACAGTGGGTCAGGCTGCTCCATTTGAGGAGCTGATACTTTCCCATGTCATCCTGACCCTCATCCTGCCAGGTAAGTGGGCCCTGCAGGCTGTGAGTGCAAACTCCAGGGGCACCATTCACAAAGATCATCATGTCAGTGGCACCCCTGGAATGGAGTAGGGCAGTGGTCCTGCAGGTAAGCACTCCATTTTACAGATAAGGAAACTGAGGCTCAGAGAGACCAAGTAACTGGCCCAAAATGCACAGCAGTGAAGGGCAGAGTCCCGGTTCCTTGGACTAAAAACCCTGCCCTTTTCCATCAAACCCCTCCTGCTCCTGTGGGTAGAGAAGTGGCCCAGAACCAGCCCCAAACTCTCTGCCCAAAAGCCCAGGTGACTGAAATGGCCCTTGACCTGTCCACACCATCTCTGGAGGCCTGGTTCTGCATACCCCAGTGCAGCAGGCAGCTGCTTGAATTCTGAATGAATATTTATACAGTTAATTGCATAACCTTTCAGCAAGGACAATGATTAAACAATCCGTCTGCTTCCTTTCTTTATAATTAATAAGACATTTGCTGTGTCCCTAAATAGACAGCTCTAATTACAGGCTCTCAAGGATTCAGCAGTGCCTGACACCAGCCCTCCTACCCTCACAGAGCCAAGGCACCTTCTTGGAACGCCGGGACACAAGAGGCCTTGGAGGGCACACTGAGGAGCAGCCACTGGAGTGACAGGAGGCAGAGGCCCAGAGAGGGGAAGTGACCTGCCCAGCTACTAGATACTGGGTGGTCCAACTGCTGTCTCTCCTAGAACCTTGCCGTCTCCGTTGGGGTGCAGCTGTTCCCCAAAGCAGGACACAGACCTTGCCCCGTGGGCTCCTGGGTGAGGCTTCTCACCACTCAGCCCTGGGAAGTGAGTCTGGGGGGTGTTGATGTGCAGTATCTCCTCACGAGGTGGGTGGGGAGAGCAAAGCCCAGAGAGCGAAAGTCGTTTGCTCGAAGTCTTGTGGTAAAGGGCAGAGCTGGGCTTCCTCCCCAGGTCCCTCAACTCCAATTGCACTGCTTAACTTATGGCACTGGACACTGCACGTGAGAAAAGTAGGCCCCACCAGTCTCCCGGCAACCCTGGGCTGCAGAGGGGTCACTGGAGGGAGGAGGCTCACCGGACCTTTGCTCAGGCAGAGTCTGCGAGATAGCAGATGGCCGTCTGACGTCCACTTTCAGGATAACTAAAGCTAAAGGCCCCAGGCAGCACGACACAGGAGACAGAGCATGGGTTTGGAGCCGGACAGGCCTGGGTCCAAATCTCATTTACTAACATGAAGGTCCTTCAACAAGTCACTTAACCTCTCTGCACCCTGGCTCCCCTCACCTGAAAAAGGGGCTACATAATCTCCCAGAGTTGGTGGGTGGTTTAAATGAGGAAACATGGAAATCCCTTCACTCAGGGCCTGGAGCAAACTTGGAACTCAGCAAACAGTTGCCCTAGTTTTATTTCATGAAGTGCAGATACAAAGGGCTGGGAGGGCCCTGGTCTCACCTCTGGGGATGCACATTACACATTATTAGAGTCCACACGGCCTGCCACGACGCAGCCTCCACCCCTGAACTGAACACCTCTCCCTCTCTCCACCCCTTGTCCTCTCCTGCCCTCTCTCTCTCCCTCCCTCCTTCTCTCTCTCTCTCTCTCTCTCTCTCTCTCAGAAACAGATGCTGCAAGGGATGCCTCTGGCCTGCTGTCCAAGTAACCCCAGGTTCTCCGAGGCAGGAGTGACAAGCCCCACTGTCTCTCAGACATCAGGAATCCTCCAAGTCACCAAGGGCCTGCAACTGCACCCTGGAGTGGCCGGAGGCATTTATAAATTCCCAGAGAAGCCTGCACCAGAAATCCAAATCCAATGGTACTTTCTCTCATTCATAAGTTCACAAATTAACAAAAAGGGAAATGTCTGTTGAATAAAAGAATGAAAGTGCTTGACAGCTACTTATTGAGCAAGCACATCTACAGTGTCAGATCACGAGAGGCACAGGGGCAGACAACCTCCGCACGGGGACTGCCAGCTCCGAGGGGACCAGCGGCTCAGGCAGTGGGAACTACAGGGTCTAGCTGCTGCCCCAGGAGGCACGACATGGGACGTCCCACTGTGCAGAAGGGGGCAGTTACACCAAGCTCCTTCTCACAGGGTCAGCTGGGTTGGCCTCTAACCTTGCTGAGATCTCATAAAATCTCTGGTCTCTGACAGGAAGGTACGCTTGGTTAATCTGTGAGGTCCCCCTTTCAGATGGGAAGGCTCTAAGATGCATGAAAAAAACCTCATTTTCAATAAGCAGCACCCAGAATTGTAACTCCTTCACCTTGAACTAACCTCCCCACCCCCATCCCATGCCCCTCCCAACAGATGCCTGAAGGTGGATCACAAATGGCCCCAGTCAAGTGAGCTATAATTAGAGCTGAAATGCTACTTTCATTAGGCAAATGTCCCCGCTTTCCCACTGTGACTCCTGGCTCAATTTGATAGACACAGAACCCGGAACCGGAAGGAAACAGAGCTGGGAGAAACCCCAGGCAGCGAGGGGCAGATGACATAATGGGGGGAACACGAGAAGGGGGACCTGCTCCCAAATTCCTTTCCCTTCCCTGCAAACCCCCCTCACTTAGACTATTCTAAGGCTTTAAATTGGGGAGAGGGCCTACAGTCAAAACGTAATCATAAAATAACACTGCCATTTGCTCCAGCACTGACACTTTGCGTGCATTTTGTTCATTTGATCCTCATAACCCCCCGTAAGGTAGGTACCACGACCCCATTTTGCAGACAAATGAACTGAGGCTCAGGGAGATTGGACAACTTGCCTGAGGTCTCACAGGTTAAAGGACCTAAACCCAAATATATCAGACATCAAACCCACTACCCTTTACTACTGCCTATAATCTTTCTTTGCAGGTAGGCAGGGGGCTCTATTCTGGAAGCTGGCACAGTCCCCAGGAACCTGGTAGGCTGTGGAGGTTGCTATGACGACGCCAATTAAATGGGCAGTGAATTGGCTGCCAGGTTCTCACTTGGTCAGGAGGCTGTGAGCAAGCCTGTTACCAGGTCCTGAGGCTGTGAGCAAGCCTGTTACCAGGTCCTGCTCCCGCAAATTCTGCCTGACCCTCAAGGACCCACTCTGGCTGCCCTCCCCCAGGCGGCCCTCCCCACCCACAGACCTTGCCCACCTGTGACCAATGTAACTGTGCATGGAAAGTGGGATCCTGGGCCTTGTGCCCCAGCTGGGTACAGGCAAGGGAGAAAGGGGGCCTCAGAATCCTAAGAGTCCAGGAGTATTAGAATCACAGTCTGGAATTCTGGACTGTTAGAAACTAGGGCCCAGAGAGGGGCGGGAAAGTATGCAGGACCTCACAGTGAATCACTAGGAGAGCCCAGAGGAGAGCCGGGCCGCCGACCCCCAGGGTGTGGCCTCGGTGGCAGCTCCCATGGAGCCCCCTGTCAAGCCTCAGAGACACTGTGGAGCCTGCCTTTTGTCCTGGAAGGCAGACCAGCCATGAACCACCTGTGTGTCTTGGAAGCAGGGCCCTCAGCTTCCCTAAGCCTCCAGTTACTCAATGGTCAGATAACCGTGCTCTACAGCTGAACACAAAGCAGGCCTGGGAGGCAGGAGGCGTGAGGCCCGAGGGCACCCGCACAGCCCAGAGGATGGGAAGGCAGCAAGTGCTGAAGTGGCGAGAGGGACGAAGACAGAGGGAAACGTGGGCAGGGCAGCAGAGAGAGAGCCGGCAAGAGGGAGAGGGAGGAGGGGCAAGCAGGGAAGGGAGGCAGCCCGACAGTGCAGGGTTGGGCAGGAGGGAGATGAAAAGGAGCGTCATCAATGCAAAGAGACAGAGACCTGGGGAGGCGGGGGAGCACAGTGCTCAGGCAGCAGGACAGACCCCGGGAATGACCCTGACGATGCTCCCCCTCCCCTCCCACCTCCAGTGTCCAGGGAAACCGCAAGCATGGGGTCTGGATGACCGAGCTGATTGCCATGGTGGCCACAGCCCCCTGCCCAAACACACACTCTGGGCTGCACACAGCTCTGCCCTATATTAGCTGGGCAGCCTTGGGCAAGTGGCTGAACCTGTCCCAGCCTCAGTTTCTTTCTCTCTAAACAGATCCACCCCCCCTCCCAAGGTTGCCAGGAGGATGAGTCACAAGTGGGCGTGGCTGGGCTTTGTTCCTCCAGAAGCCAAGCTCAGGACAAAGCACTGGGCTGCCCTTGGGCCCAGACACCTGGGACTGCACCAGCTTTGGCTACTTGGTGGGGTGAGGGAAGAATAGGGCCTGCAGCAAGTCCGGGGAAGGCAGGGCAGCTGTGCGAGGAAACGAGGGGGTGCCCTGTCTCGGGCGGGGACGGCTCCTGCTCTCCCTTTCTCTCTCCCTTTCTCTTTCTCTCCCACGGAGACTGGTAGCTCTGTTGCTAGGAGACAAGGAAACCCAGTTATCACGAGCCGCGGCCCTAGATGGGACGCTGGCCTCCATTGTCCCCACCTCTGCCTCTGGGGTGACTGTGACCCTTAAGGAAGATCCGGGATTGTGACTCGCAGGTCCCTGCCAGCCCCACCCCCACCCCCAACCAGGTTCCCCCCCCCCACCTCACCCCCTGTCCTCCACGTGCGGCCCCCACCCCGGCCTTTTGTCTCAGGCTCATTCTGCTGAAGCTCTGCCTCCGGGGCCACCGGGTCCTTCCCTGCCCCTGTCTCATCTCCTTTTTAATTTAACAAATGTCATGGAATGACCTGGTGGGTGTAAGTTTGCTTTGAGGATTAGGGCCTGGAAAAGAAATCCCAGAGAGACAAAGCCTGAATATGGGAGGCGGGGGCCTGGGGCTCCGCTCTGGCCCTCGCCTCACCCCTGGCTGTCTTCGCTGCCATCAGCCCGCCCAGAGCAGAGGACAGAGCTGGGGCCTCAAAATCCCGGCTGAGTGGCCTTGGGCAAGTCACTCAACCTCTCTGAGCCTCAGTGTCCGCCTCTGCAGAAGTTAGAAAGTGACAGCACCTGCCTCATGAAGTGGGAATTAGATGAATGAAAGCATACACAGTGCTTAGCAGTGCCCGCTACATACTGAATGCTTGATAAGCACCCGCCGCCATTAGCACTATTAGAATTATGATTAGATTCCTCAAAAAAAAATAGTGGGGGAGGCTGAGGGGAGGCCTGGAGGATGTGCTCTGGCTACTTCTGGGCAGCAGGGCACAAAGGGGCTGTTTCTAGCTCCTGGAACTACAGGAGCAGGGCCCAACCTGCCGGAGGGCTGGGAAGAAAGTCCAGAAACAGGTCACCAGACACCAGCAACTAGAGGCACCGGACTGTCAGCCCGGAGCTGGCAAGGGCTCAGCACAAAGTGAGTCTGAGGCTGTGCATGACAGATCACCTCACCCGAGCCTCCCAACCTCCCAACCGGGAAGACCTGATGAGGAGACTGGAGCCCAGAGCCAGGTCCCCTCCCCCAGCCTAGGGGCAACACTCACTGCAAGTGGCCTCGGACTCGTCCGAGCCGTCGGGACACTCCTCCTCGCCATCGCACTTCCACCGCTCTCGGATGCAGTGGCCGTCGTCACAGGTGAAGTCGCTGTCCGCACAGGTCTTCTTGGCTGTGGGGCAAGGAGAAGAGCGTGAGGGGTCTGGTGGGCACAGGAGGCTTTTCTAGGACATACACTCAGGTGGCTACGGGGTGACCAGAATGTGCTGGTCTGCAAGCTGGACCACGTGACCTCCCATAGCCCCAGGAGGCCACGAGTGCCTCCCTGACCAAGAGGAGTGGACAGGAGAGAAAGGCTTATTCATTCCACACCAGGAGGAGACGGGCAATCCCTGGCCTTGCTCTCCAGGTTCAACAAGGGTGACAGGATTCATCCATCAGGGGAATGCCCATTCCCATCACACCTCTCTCTTCCCCCCAAGTCCAGGTCCACTGTCACAGCCTCCAGGAAGCCTTCCCTGATCACATACGGTAGCTGCCTTAGCCCCTTCAGCCAGTTCTCAGTCCCTTTACCTGCCTTTCCTGCTCCCCACAACCAGACTGAAGTCGAGGCTCCTTCTGCAAGCACCAGGGAGCTGGTGATAATAAATTATAAAAGTAAATGATCACCTTGTGGCAAGATTAATGAGGTGTGTTTTGTTCAGAGCGAGGGAAAGAGAATCTGTGGGCAAGACATCCAAATAAGTCGCTGCTCCCAAGGCGCTTATGGCCACACAGGGGGTTGGAATCCCAGCTCTGCCTCTTTCTATCTGTGTGATCTTGGGGATGTTACTTAAGCTCTGAGCCTCTGTTTTCTTATCTATATAATGGGGAGAAAGAAACAAAGGGCTCCAAGGAGAAGTAACAGGAAGTTATAATGTATGAAGGTCAGGCAGCAGAGACCCTGGCGCACAGCGGCTGCTCAGTAAGTAGCAGCTACGGCTGTTTTTATGGCCTGAGCCTTAATTAGAAGCAAAGGAAATGGGGTGTTCTGTGACCTCATAGGGGAAGTACACAGCAGGTCGGAGCAGCTGGGAGCAGAACTGGGACAAGAGCACAGGGACCAACAGGGTTTACTTTTCTCCCTCCCTGTCCCTCCACTGGCCTGACACTCCCCCAGTGCAGGGATTGCATCAGATTCAGCACAGGACCCAACTCAGGGTAGATTTCAGTGCAGGGCATTGAACCCATCGGAAACGTAGCTGTCCAGCCTCTGCTCCCGCACCTCCAGGGCCAGGCTCTCCCTCTCCCCGGGAAGCTCCTTCCCAGTGACCAGGCTTGGGTTATGTAAATCCTCCCACAGGCCCTCTGGCCCCCTCTGGAGCCACATGACTGCTCCCCCGCTGAGCAGCCTAATAGGGATTTGGGGACAGATGCTAGGCCTCCTGAATCCATTCCATTTCTGCCTTTCCTTTCAATGAAATCCTTGCAGTACCTCTGCATTCTAAGCTGAGCTTTCTTCACACTTTCCTTAGAAGAACATCTCTGCCTGTGCAGGGCTGGAAGAAACCAGAGGAATCAGAGTCTACCTACAGATGGGGGCCTGAGACCCAGAGAGAGAAAAGGGCTGGCCCAGGGAAACACAGGAAGGCAGCAGTCAGAACGAGCTCACTTGCCTCCCAGTCCAGGACCCCCAAAAAGGCCTCCCTGAGCCCTGCACTGAGGGGTCAACATGGGTGATAAATACCAATGTGGTATTTGGTAAATCACGGCTTATAGTGCATCAGAAAGAAGTATACTTATGAACCACGGCACCTGGGGCATTTCCTAATATGAGCACCAGGGTGCCCCTTCCACAAGAAGCTCAGCATTCAAAAAAGAAACATATATTCCAGTGCTTTCTTTTTCCTGTTCTAACATTCTCCAAGTGCATCCTGTGTGCCAGTCCCTGTGCTAGGCACTTTACCAGGAAACCCCACGACAAAGGGCCTGTTCTGTCCTCACTTGCCATGTGGGGAAATTCAGCTCCAGGGTGTTAAGTTACATGCCCAAGGTCACACCTCGGTGGGAGCAGAGCCACAGTTGGACCTCACAGTCAGACGTCCCTCTTCCCCACCATGGCTCTCCAAACAAAATGCCCAGGGGCATCAGATACGAAAGAAAAGCCCAAGAATAGGTGGGAAGTCCATGGAAGCTTCAGCTCAGCGCTCAGTGAGCTTGTGTCTGTGCCCTGAGCACACGGATGAGAAGTCCGCCCAGCCCGTCAGCACGAGTGCATGACCAGCAAACCCCAGGAGAGCAAGGCAGGCTTGACGAAGAAGGGGATGGAGGGGCTCCATCGCTGGGCCTCGGCCAACCAGATGCTCGCCACGGACCCTTTCCTCCCTGGCATCCTGGGAGCCTGGGAGTCAGCTTGGCCTCCCACAGTGTGCCAAGTCCTGACAGGCCAGAGCAGCCACAAGCAACATCACAGTCCTGAAGGGCAGCACTGAGGCCAGGAAATGGCAGGCTCGGGTGCATGTCCCATGGTGGTGTTTTGGGGAACAGACCTGTTTCACTGTCATGACCAGTTTGGACATTTTCCACCCTTGCTCTGCCCTGCACCTTTCACTCAATATCCCAGTGATTCCTCGTAGCTATCCTGGCAGCTGTTGTTAATCCCATTTTACAGAAGAGGAAATTGAGGCTCAAAGAGGTGAGGGTGGTAGGTGGCAGAAGTGGGATTTCAAGTCCATGTGGCAGCTTCCAAAGTTTGGACTCTTTATACTAAGTCCCTTAGCCACCTCAGCATTATCGGGCGAAGAATGAGGACCCCAGAGAGGCAAATGCAGTTGGACTAGATCCCAGGGGCTGCAGGACAAGGCAATGTGGTGGATCCACCACAGACCAGAGGCACCTGCATGAAGGGCTCCCCTGGAATGTGCCCAGAAATGTGAGGTAGAATAAACCTGGGCCTGTGACAACTTATGCTTTGCTAATGGACCACCCTGGGGAAACTGAGGCAGCATGGTCAGTTTCAGGCTGGGGACTGGACTAAACCACCTTGGCGGACCCTGTATGAAGTGTAACCACGTGGAAGGATTTGAAAGCAGAGCTGAGCCTGAACCCTGGCACGGCCACCTCCTCTCTGGGTGACCCTGGGCAAGTTCCTTCTCTCTCTGGGCAAGTGAGGATGGTGGCTTTCCCAGGCAGCACTGCCACACAAGGTCAAAAGGCAAAAAGGGATCTGAGCAAGCATCCCAGTGTCAGATTGTGCAGTGTAAAGAGCCCAACAGCCCCTTGTCAAGAGGCTACATCAGCCCCGCCAAGAGATGAGGGCAGGGCAGTCTTTTGAAGCTGTCAGAGCAAACCATGCCAGCCCCCACTCTCCTGGCCTTGGCAGCCTTGGCTCCAGCTTCCAGGGTGATTCCCAAGCTGGGCTCGAGGCCGTGGCTCTCTATTTCCCGGGATTTATGTCCCTCCATGCCAGTCATCCCTTGGACAATTCCCACTTCTGTGAATCCCTGTACTCCACAGCCCAGGAGCAGTACACAGTCAACCAGGATCTGCGACATCATAATCTGGTGCCATGGCAACAGATGGGCTGCCACAAAGGACTTGGGATTCCTAAGGGCAGTGGGGAGGGGCCAACCCCAGGGCAGAGGGGGAGAGAATGGGAAATCCAGGACAAAAGAAGGGGGAGCTGCTAATTATAACAAGAACGCAGGCCAAGGAAAGCGTCAGACTGCTCACGGTTGATGGAACTCTGTTCTGCCACTTGTGGGCTGTGTGACCTTTTGCAAGTTACACAACTTCTCTGAGCCTCACTTTCTTCACCTACATTCAGGGATAAAATCTCTGCTTCACCACACAGGGTTGTTGTGAGAAGCAAACGGGCTAAGGATGGTGCCAGGACCTCATGAACTGAAAAGCAGGAAGGTGCAAGTTTGGGGCGTGTGAAGCCAGCAGCTCCAGCTGCTATGTGTGTGACACTGGGATCATCAGCCACATGGGCCTGCCTCCTCGTCTGGATATGCAAGTGTGGAGCTGACTGAATCTTCAGCCCTCTGTGCCCAGAGTCTATGATCTTGCGAAATTGTCATGATCACTCATCACCTCCCAGCTTCCCCGCCCCCAGAAGCATCCTGCCCCGAGACAATGTGCATCTTTCATGCGTTATTCCCCACCCATGCTCATCCTGCAGCCCCAGTGCAGACAGGAGGCTTCAAAACAAAGATTAGCCAGGACTGCCAGGTGGAGCTGCTCGGTGTGGCTTCGTCTTGGCAATCACAATGCTCTGTCCTGTCAGAGCCCAGGGCTTTGAAGTCCCCTCTGCGCTCTCCTGTTCTAGAAGCTGAAGCCAGGCCCAGGGAGAAGGGGCTGCTCCAAGGCACAGCACGTGTCTGTGGGAGGGCTGTACCTGAGCCCAGGTATTCTGACCCCCAGTCCCACTGTGTGGCCAGGAAGCCAGGCGAGGGCTACCCAACCATCCCAGGGGTCAGGGAAGGCTTCCTGGAAGAGGGGACTGTGTTCAAGGAAGAGAGGTCATCCAAGCCGTGGGAGTGAGGAGAGCAGAGAAGGGTGTTCCAGGGAGAGGGATAACAGGCCATGGGGTGTGGAGGAGCCAGCGGAATGGCCGTTTGGGGCTGGGGAGGAGGCAAGTGGCAAGGGACCTGGGAGCTCCACTAGGCCAGGGGCCAACTCGCCCCGCCTGGCACCAGGCTGCCCCTCAGAGGCCCAGTGCAGGGACCTGGCTTTCCCTGAGCTCACCTAGGGACTCACCCCGCCCCTGCTAAGCACAGGGCGGCCAACAAAACCCACGGCTCCAAGCTGCCTGGGCCTCCTTCAGGATTTGGCGTGTCCGTGCACACGGACCATCAGGCCCTGGCAGAGGAAGAGAGAGGCAGAGGGCAGGACAGAGAGCTGCAGGACCATCCACCCAGATGTTTGGGTTAAGATTTATTACCTTCCCCTTGGAGATTCATGATGCCCACTGGCTTACTAAGGGCCCTGAGAGGCCTACAGTAAAGATATCAGATTGATTTTGTTTCCTCCAGCACTTCCCAAACTTGTTTAGCCAAGGAATGCCTTTGTTGGATGCCACGTCTATTAATTTCCCAAGAAACAAGTGTCCAATGAACCACACTTGACGAAACACTGCTGTAGTGCCAGCCCCTCAGATCAGAAGATGAGGCCCAGAGAGGGGAAGGACTG